TCTGGAGGGAGGAGTTGGGGAGGCCAACAAGCAGTGAGTTTCATAGTCGAGCCTCGATGTAATGAAGGCATGTATGAGGGGTTCCACGGCCTGCGGTGTGAGACAGTGTTGGAGACAGGCGACGTTGCGGAGGTGGGGAAGGCAGAGTGGGTCATGGTGTGAATGAGGGGTAGAAAGGATAGTTGAGGGTCGAACAAGATCCCAAGGTTCCGGTTTGCAAGCTTGAGTATGCAACCATACTCAAGCATACGCTGTCAGCTCCTGAGGTGAGGAGGCGCTGACGGGGGCCAATCAGGAGAGCCTCGGTCTTGTTGACATTCAATTGAAGAAAGTTGGCTCTCATCCAGGACTTGATGTTTGACAGACATTCTGTCAGGACAGCAGTGGTCCTGGAGTCAAGGGTGAAGGCAGAGAGATAGAGGTTGACCCCATGTCTGCGGATGATGTCACCAAGAGGGAGCATATAGATGTTGAAGAGGATGGGACCAAGGACAGAGCCCTGAGGAACGCCGCCCAAGATGGTTTGTGGGCTAGAGGAGAAGCCATTGGAGGAGATGAAGTGCAGGCGGTGTGAGAGTTACGATCTGAACCAATCAAGCCATGGAGGTTGAGGTGAGAGGAGAGGCAGTGGATGACGATAGAGTGGTCGACGGTGTCGAAAGCAGCAGAGAGGTCAAGGAGGACGAGGAGGCAGAGAGAGCCCTGGTCGCAGACGGACAGAAAGTCATTTGTCACTTAGACCAGAGCAGTTTCTCTGCTGTGGTCGACACGGAAACCCGATTGGAGGGGTTTGAGAAGGGCGTGGCAGGAGAGGAAGGAGCGAAGCTGAAAAGCAACAACTCGTTCTAGGACCTTGGAGAGGAAGGGGAGGTTGGAGATGGGGAGGTTGGAGATAGCTCTTTTCAAAGAGCCGGCACAGAATCGATAGGCCGAATGGCCTCCTTCTGTGCTGTATAACTCTACGACTTTATGATTCTGTGAAATGCGATAAATATTGAATCTGTGTGATTGAAATGGCTGAAATTTGATTGCAGTTACTGACTGGTTGCAGCTGCAGAGAACTGAAAGACACAAGGGAAAAATTCTAGGTCAGCACTAGGTGGAGTCTGGAAACCCCAAATACCATTTCGCCATTTGCGTTTAATCTTTGACTAACTGCAAATTATGTACAGCTGCCAAGACTATAATTTAGAAGCCATGTAAGAAGAGGGTGTTTCATATGAATTCTGTCCTTGGATAGTGTGGAAACTGCAAAGAGAAACTTAGCACAGATGTCATGTACACAATCCTACTCACTAGAATATAGTGTTTGATAGTGTATGAAACTGACCACACAATATGAGTGCTGCTTGATACAGGAAACATGTCATGTTAGTATTTTTTGGAATTTTTGGTTGTTTAAATATTAAAATTATAAAGAAGTGGATAACACAACAATGAGTCACAAGAACAGAGGTAATAATGATGATTCATGATATCGCTGTGCTGATGATGAGCAAGTCTTGTCCTCCTGCTATGATGCTGTTGCAGAACATTGTGCTTGAAACTGAGGCTGGTTGGGTGATGTTCACTTCCTTTGAAGTGTTAGAATGTGGGTTGAAGGGATTGATTTGGGATACTTTTCTATTCGTACTATTAGATTTTTCTTTCAAAGTTTAACTTTATTTCATGTATTTCATATTTCAGTAGCTCAGCCAGTTAAGAACTCAGGTTAGAATTTGCCAAGAAAGAACTGGAAAGAGATCCAGGGGGTGTTAGTTGACTCATCACTCGCCTCATAAAAACAGCTTGAGGCAACAAAAACAAGGCAAACAGGCTGTTGGGCTTTAATGCTAAATATAAAGGTCAGATCCCTTTGAAGTCCTACTCAAGCTATATAATGCTCTGGTCAGCCTCTATCTTGAATACTGAATAGAGTTCTGGTCATCCAGATTGAAGGGGCTACCCAAACCCGCACGCGGAGCAATCGGGAATCATGGAGTCCTATAGCTCAGTGGTTAGAGCGCTCGCTTTGCAAGCGAGAGACCCGAGTTCAGTTCCAGGCAGGGCGAAACCTTGGGCAAGTTTCCTTACTCCACACGCCTAATAATAATCCCTCCAAAACAATAATAAAAATTGGTCATTTTCAATCTACGACTGTTTGTGGGACATTGCTGTGCGCAATTGGCTGCCGCGTTCGCCCACAAATATAGTCAATTCACTTTACAGTATATTCTGTGAAGCGCTTTGAGATGTCTAGAAGACGTGAAAAGCGCTATATCAAATGCAAGGATTATTATTATTATCATCTCCAGTGTTAGAGAAATGAACCATGAGCAATGAGAAGACAAGCTAGGACTCTTCAGTCTTAAAAAAAGACATCTCAGCGGGACCTCATAGAGCTGTACAACAACAAATTACATTTGTTTAGCACCTTTCACGTCAGGAGGACATCCCAAGGCGCTGGCCAGTCAGGGATCCGCACCCGAGCTGGTGGTTGGGATCAGGAGGGATGGAGGGCGGGGAAAATAGGTGTAGGAGGGCGACCAAAGACACAGCCAAAGAGGAGGATCTTGAGTTGGGTCTTGAAGGAAGCAAGGGAGGGGGTGAGATGGAGGGACTGTGGGAAAGGGACTCTGGGATGGAGTTTCAGAGGATGGGGGCAGAGAGGTTGAAGGCCCACTCACCAATGGTGGGGCTGGCGAGGCGGGGGACCTGAAGCAGGCCAGAGCCCGCTGAGCGGACTGGAACAGAAAGGACTGGTGTGATGGGGGTTCGGAGTTTTGTGTGGGTTATTATTCGCGTGGCAGAGTTCTGAATTAGCTGTATTTTTTGCATGGTGGAACTGGGGAGACCAGCGAAGAGGGCATTGGAATAGTCCAGCCCGGAAGTAACAAAGGCCTCCTGTGGAGCTTGGATCCAGAACCTTCTGACCAATAGGCTTGAATGCTACCAACTGAGGCAGTCTGACAAATAGCTCAATATACAAGTTAAAATCAGGAAGTTAGGTCAGGACACTGGACTCATTTAAAAAGCAACTTGATGCTGTGATGGGGGGACGGTAGGGTGAGTATTCTGAAAGGATGAGTTCAAATAGGCCAAAGGGCCTTCTTTATCCAGACCAATCTTAATAATAATCCTTGCATTTGATATAGGGTTTTCACATCTTCAAGACATCACAAAGCGCTTCACAGAACATACTGTGAGGGATTTGACTGTACACTTTGTGGGCAAAACGCAGCAGCCAATTGCGAACAGCAATGTCCCACAAACCATAATGGATTGAGTGACCAAATTATTTTTTTTAAAAAGGAATTATTACCCCTCGAAAAGCGATCCGCCAATCAACTAACAACCAGGTTCCTAGTTACTGCTAGGTAAACAGAGGCGTGTAGAGTAAGGAAACTTGACCAACATTTCACCGTGCTGGGAATAAAACCCAGGTCTCTCGCTTGCAAGGCTAGTGCTCTAACCACTGAGCTGCAGGTCTCTTGTAATCTTGGGACGGCACACTAGGCAATAGATAGTCTGTAGTGAAGAGAAATACATGTAGAATAGAGAAATCCATTGTTGTCATTAATATTAAATAGTTCAAGTAGTAATATTTCTGGAGAGATTAGTAGATTTTCATCAAAAAGTATGGATGTGTTGGGTCCAATAGCCTTTTCCTTTTAAAACAAATATAAATACTTTCTCTTCAAGTGTATTGGTGCAATGCTGGTATGAAGGATTGTAAAATATGTCATTAAGGACAAGGAAAATATTTTATGATCAAAATACCAGTCCTCTTTCCAGTAGAAAAATCAAAAGTACTTTTTACCTCCAGTGAAGCTTGCTTTCCTATATTACTTAGGATCTGCCTTTGCCATTTCTTGGGTCAGCAGTTATGTTAATGATTCTTTGGATGAACCATTCCTTGGATGAGCACGGTTACATCCCAGAATGGTGCCACAGTTTAACAGACAGAACTATCCCTGGCCAATTAGAAGCCTGCCAAAAATGAAAATTGCAGTAACTAGTGCATTGTGAGATGAACAAAGAAATGTATCCTAACTGGTAATATCAAGATCGAGGAGTAAAAGAGAAAGGTCTTTTAAAGATGGCAGTAGACAATTATACAAATGTTTCTGTAGAGGCATTAAATATACAAGTTATTGTTAAATATGTGCAGGCATGGTTAGGCTGCAGTTGGAGCATTGCACCCAGTTGTAGGCACCTAATTACAGAAAAGGCATCGCAACCATAGAGAGGGAACAGGTCAAGATTCATTAGGATTACACTGGGTTGAAAGACCATAGTTATATGGAGAGATTTGAAAAATCAAATTGGACCAGTTTTCACTGGAACAAAGAAAGTTAAGGGGCATTTAATTTGAGATTTTCAAAATTATGAATGGTTTTATAAGGTTTATAAAAATTCCACTTGACTGCAAGCCTGTAATAAAACATCAAGGTGAGAATTATCACCATCAGAAAATAAATAAATAACAAATAATCCTTGCATTTGATAATTGATATAATTATCATCATCAGAAAAAGGGGAGGTAAGAAGATATTTTAAGTAGAGGGCTGTTGGAATGTGGAATATTTAAAGTAAATGGCTGCTGAAGTTGGGTCTATAACATTTAATTTAAGGAAAATATTAAAGATTATGGGGAATTAACGGGGAAATTCGATTAAAATAGATAGCAACAGTTATATTATAGAATAGTGAAATTTAAACCAGTTACCTCCTTTATGCTGTAAATGTACAAATTGTTTTCATACAACACACATGACTTACAGAATTTACAATCTAAATTTTAGAAATGTTATATATGAATTATAAACTAAGATTTCCATTTATTTCAGAAACATAATGAAACATGTCATCGTGTGATCAGCAGTAATCCATGGATGAATTTGGGATAATTATACACCATGATATTGCAAGGTTTATTGCTTCTGTTCTGCAGTTACAAAATTGCATTACTCTCAATAGTAAACGGATGGAGGCAACAAAATACTTAGATGCATTTGAACTTGTGATTTGACAAGCTTTTATTTACAATATGTTGTAACTGTACATGTTGCAGCATAGGAAGCATCAGTTAAAAGATATTTAGTGGAAAGGTACCATGTAACCTCCTGTTCACTTTGTAAACATTTCCTGAACACAGATAAACCAAATTCAGTTAGTTTATTGTATATACATATTTTATATAAGCAGCATGTAAATTGCCAGTTACATTATAGAATCAAAGCAGAGAAAAGGGTGACAAATGCAAGTAATGAATCCTCTAAATGTAACACAATGATCTGCATCTAAATACAAAAGATAAATAAATACATACATTAATACAATGTTAATGTGCAACAGGCTAGAGGTTTGCACCAGGTGGCTTCTCCTCCCATTTACAGAACCGGATAACCTAACCTTCAAAAGGTAGTCAAAGCAGGCCATTAATACTTTATCAAGACTAAAGTAAACAGGAATATGCTACAATTATAGCAAATAAGGGGAAAGAAAAAGAACCATGTAAGAGCGAGTGAAAGCAAAGCCATAGTTAGAAAACAAATGCTAAAAATGATCACAATGCAAGAAACATTTGTAGCATAGAAATTAGAATTATTGGCATTTAGGTACAAGACCTGAGATTGCTGCTATAAGTAAGAAAGCATCGTCAGTTCACAGATCTAAATGAATTGTTAAGATATTTATGGAAATATGAAGACATACAAAATCTGTAACAGATGGACAGCTGCGAGTGGCACAAGATGGCATCTTCTTAATACATTTAAAGCTTTCAATTACCCTTTGTGCTTATCAAGGTGGGGTATATCAGTTTGGTCAAAGTCTTACATTTGACACTAAGTCTTTCTATCAAGGACCTCCTGATAAGGTACAGTATGTCAGTGGGAAGTGAAAGGTCCTTCTAATCTGCACCAACAAAGTGCCCAACCTTAAAAGAGCACCTACTACTGGACCATTTTTGCTCTGATCAAATTGCCAATTTGGTGCCAAATAGTGGGCAGTTCTGTGCTTTAGACTCAGCCTACTGGTTTGAGCATGTTAAATTCCTTTAGTTTGGATCTGAACAGCCAGCAGAGAAAGAACACTTAATTGTATCAGTCTGTTTTGGGGTGCGAATAGAGGTCCAAGGAGAAAGGGCAGTATGCTAAACAAATTGTGCCACCCAATCTCTGACTAGTCCAAAGCTACTGAGTAAATGGATCATTTAAAACCAACAGATCGGTTGTATTTGCATGTTAGATAACTGAAACGGCAGTGGGTATGGTTAGTTCCCTGGATTATGCGTCTGAACTCAAAAGTCATGCAAACGAACAATCATTGCCGGTAAGCCATGCTGGGGGTCATGCAATCACGTCACTGCAAATGAAGAACAAAACATATTAAGAGAAAGAATACTGGCTAATGTATTAACACTTGAACTTCTGTAACATATACATTAAATGTGTTAATAGTTAGTGTAACCAAGTTAAGCAAGTATTGTATCAGGCTTACTTAGTTACTATGATAATGGTCATGTTATTGGTTACAACACAAAAGGGAAAAATTAAAATGCATATGCATTTTTAAATATAATCTCATATTCTTTGGCCTTAAAATTGTGCCTAAATAATAACTAATACTGGTTCAAACACGATTAGAAAAATGAATAAGAGAGGATAAGCAAACAATCTTTTTCAGATGCAATGATCGACATTTAATTATTTGCTATAACTGAATTATTAATAATGAAAATCAGAGTAATGATACTGAGCTACAGTCCAGTTCTATGACAACAGCAGCTTCTATTAGCTTTATAAAGTGCAAATGAAAATCAGGATGGCTTTGCTTGAATGACTAACCATTTGAAGATAATTAAGGGCACCACATAATGCCATTTAAAACTAATCAGTTTTTTCTTAACACAAATGTTAATGGTCAATTGTCACATTCATAGTTTCTGCTAGCATAGCTATTATGCAGCAAGTGCTGGAAGCTCATAGATAAGATTGTAGAAAGAATAACATTGGAAATTACAATTTGTTGAGTATATTGTAAATTAAAAATAACCAATTTAACATAAGACTTGAATAAACTATCTTCAGATGGTTCCCTAGACAAAAAAAAGCAGTTTTTTTAAAATAAATTTGTCTTCATCATGTGTTCCACATCTTACCCGACAGCTTAAAAACAAAAGAAAATCTACTTTCCGTTACTCTTGGAGTTTAATATTACTCTAAAGAATACTTTTTTTAGTCTGAGGATGGAAATCCAAAGATATTGACGCAAAATATATTTAATCTAAATCAACATAAAAACTAATTTTGTCACGTTAACAAACTACTCTGCAATCAGCAGGTATACAGTTTAAGTAGAATTATCCTTTTGAGATCTTATAACCAAGGCCTCTGAGGCTCATACTGCTCAATTCATTTTTGTAAACTGCCGGCAATGTAATAAAGGTATTTTAAATGATTTTCGTTATATTATGTTCCCAATTTATTATAATTTATTTCAGATGGTTTTGATAGAAGCACAATAGATGTACACTTCTAATTCGTAAATTATCCAATATCCATTTCCTATTGCCTTGTTTTACAAAGTCCTGAGACAATAAAGCCCACATAAGAAAATGAGGTATTTTCTAATTTACATTCTCATACAGGTCAGGTAATAACTTGTGAATTTAAGTTCCTTTAATCATCAAGTCTGTGATAATATTTTTTTAGCAATTTTTTTTTCTAAATATAGAAATTTTCCATTTGCTTTAAATTTCCATGATTTAAGGTCATATGCAGCAGACTTACTCCAAACAAGTATTACTATAAATTACTGAAATTTACAAATCATCAGTTTTAAGATCAATTTATCATTAAACATTTACTCAAGATAGAAGATTCTCAATTGTCTGCATAGTTTCTGCTACAAGAATCTCATTTATTGAAGCCACTGAAATCAGAAGTCAGACAGTGTTTTTGCTAGAGCGAGTAGGTTTTTCAATTTTTTTTTGCCATATTTCTATATTCTAGAACGTATAGGAATTGGGGAAAGTAAAAGTATTTATTCTAATGTGTAATAAACGTTTCTAAAAGATTAGCAGGTCAATTTGAATCACTTCCAGTAAATTGCACTACTGTATTTGTAAAACTGATTACAATTTTCCCTGAAAACACACACTGAACTTATCACCATTCAAAAACTCATTTAGGCCCTTGAGTACTGAAATATTCTTAAAAATAAGTTTTATACATCGTCAGAAGAATGTTCTTTACATTTCTCACAACGGAAAAGTTATATAAGACAAATTCAAGAAATAGATAGAACCATAAGAAAAAGCTTCATATGGCTTTTGAAATTAACTGAATTTTTCTGTTTGCAACTGTGTTGGTGCAAAATTGCTGCCACTGTCAAAAGGTCTACAATGACAAAAAGTACATTTATCACTACTAATATTAATCTTTGCATTTGATATAGCGGCTTTTGTGTCACGAGGGCGTCTCAAAGTACTTCATGGCATAGGCTGTAAAGTGGAGTAACCATATTCTATAATAAGGTTATTACTACGTAGCCAATTTGCAAATTTAAGATCAGATGCATTTTAGGTCAAATGCTATGTAGTACAAGATGGCTTTGAAACACAAATTACCATTAAAAAAGTTCTTCACTGACTTAGTTATTCCAATTTAATTTCCTCCTCAAACTTTTTAAAAACAAGAAGTCTAAAAACTGTTGATAATACAAGAGAAATTAAAGACACTGGAAGTTTAATTTTTCAATATATAATTCAACTTATCATCAGGGGACCTCCCAAGTGTTAAGGTCTGAAGTGAGCAACACAAGTTACTCCAAAACTATCCCATAACATTTATACCACAAATGTGCTATAAATTATTAGTATATTTTATTGGACAAAGTTGAAAATGATTTCTCAACATGCAATCACTTTTAACAGAATTGTTTAATTGAGGAATCTGAGAAGTAAGTCAGGCAAATTGGTGAGAACTCAAGTCTGAGGTGATCTTTGTAGTAAAGTTCCTGCAAGTCAGCATGATCTATTTTCTCTAACCGTTCCTCAATTGGATTCCTTAATTAAGGGTCCTGTTTGTAGCATTGAGATCTAAAACACAGAGTCCTAATCATAATTTGCTTTTGTTGTGAGGAGTCTGCAGCCACAGCTGCTACAGGCACAAAAGTGACAAGAAAAAGACTCCCAGATCAATATACATTCTCACCATTTATCCTATAGTTTCAGCCAATTGTTCTCTCATAGAACAGCCACTGGTTGCTGGAAAATGTGTAGTGAAGCTGATTGAAATCTTGCAGTGTTTGAATGTTAGTCAACAGAATAAAGACTTTTAATATTGCCACAACGTTAGTTTGGGTGGTATAGTGGAACATAGTGGATCACTTGCTAAGAAAGACAAAGTTGATAACAAGGGGTAAATACAGCTCCCTCCCCAAGCCCATTTCAGCTCTGTGAGACAGTACAAAATAAATTGAAAAGGAAATCACATGTTCAACTAATGAGCACCAGTAACTGCTTCTACTTTGCAAATGTTCTTAACTGAAGGCAAATTAGTCAATTAGATTGCACATGTATTTGGCGAATATTTGTGTTCATTAATGCAAAGGATGTCAAATGGTGAGGAGTGGAATACCTTTCTACTTTTGGCACTCAGTGACAACACCAATAACACCCAGATATACTTAAAAAGAGAACTGGAGAAATACTTGAGGAAAAATAAGTGTTAATAGGGAAAGTGCAGGCATATGCGGTTAAAGCAGTTAGCTCTGTGGAGGAGCCAGCACCAGCAAAGTCACGATGAGCCAAATGGCTGTAAACATTTGTGATTCTATAATAAACCTCCAGCTATTCAGCCCAGTCAATGTCCTCAAACTTTTCCATTTCCCACTCCAGCTTTCTTTATGATCTTCCTGAGTGAGATTGCCAGTGTAGTGCCAAATTCTAGACTGGCCTGAGCACAAAGAATTGGCTGAGTCAGCTCAAAATTTAAGAGAAATCTAATGTTAAAAGCATATCCATATTTTCCAAATACTGTGCATCAGAGGAAGAATTTTTAATTATCAGCAACAATTAAAAGGATTAAATTCAGGTCTGTGGCAATTTTAGGGCTGAAAACTGAATAAAAAAGTAGCCCTCTCCTTGAATTATGGAAAAGATGGAAAGTGGAACAGTTATTTCCACAGTTGTTGATATACTGCACTTGTGGCATCAAACTTCATACGTGGCCTTAGCAATACATTCAATACGAACATTAGCACAAAGGTTTTTTTTAAAAAATGAATTTCAAAAAAAGGAACTTGATATTTTCCAAGTGGTTGAAGATGGGCAATTACACTATATACTACACAATGTGTGCTCTGGCCGTGGACTGTTTCTTCTACCTTGCTGTAGCTGGTTGGACATGCCCAGGGTATGGTCGCCGTGTGCTTGTTGCTTGTCTCTGTCTCGCTAGGAAAGATTGTCCTGAACCAGTACTAGCAAGTCTGTCTTCTGCTGCTTTCTTATGAAGAGCCATTCCCTAGAGTAAATTCAGAATTTGAATTTAGTACACTTAAGAAACACTTATGCTTGTTTTAGTGTTAGTACTATATAAAAAGTAACTGTTTAGCAATTCCAATGAAAATGCAAGTGAATATGAAATCTGTAAGCTGCAAGGAAATGTGAAGCTATGGAAAAAGAGCTAGAAGGCAAACTATGGCTTAATTTTGCTAAAAGCTTGCAATGTTATTTGTAGTAATAATATTAATTATAATAATAATCCTTGCATTTGATATAGCGCTTTTCACGTCTTCTAGACATCCCAAAGCGCTTCACAGAATATACTTTAAAGTGAATTGACTGTATATTTGTGGGCGAACGCGGCAGCCAATTGCGCACAGCCATGTCCCACAGTCGTAGATTGTAAATGACCAATTTATCATTATTTTTTGTTTTGGAGGGATTATTATTAGGCGTGTGGAGTAAGGAAACTTGCCCAAGGTTTCGTCCTGTGCCTGGAATTGAACTCAGGTCTCTCACTTGCAAAGCGAATGCTCTAACCACTGAGCTACAGGACTCCACAGCCAGTCAGGGTCGGATAATGTAGACTACAGTTTAGAAGGAAACTAAATGGTTCAGATAAACTTCATTCATCCATTCTGTGTTCTTAAAATCAGTTATACATTTTTACTCAATAGGAAAACCCAGCCAACCAATTGATATAAATTTCACTTAAGTATCAAATTTGGAATGTTTAGTTGAAACTGTAAAATAGGATTGCTGCTGTAATTCACCTTCTGACTATTGGCAAACCAGGGAACTAAAGCAGACTGTTTTATTTAAAAAGAAATGCTTTCAGGTCATGCAATGTGATGCCAAATCAAAATTACAGTACATCAGACGTACCTATATTACTAAAAAGAATTTAAATGAAAGAGTTTGCATCACTTGCTTCTCCCCCCATTCTTTTTCTCTGTGGGCTTATTCAAGTAAGTTACTGCTTTCATTTTTGCATTTCCACACCATTTATCTTTGCTCCCAGGCCCTTCTCCACTGCCACAAAATGGCTTAAGATACTATTCCGGTGCGATTCCAGCTAAACATTGGGAGGGCTCAAAGCTTCACAGAATTGATTGTAATGTGTAACCGTATTTTGTAAGCAAATGAGGCAATTAGTTTATGTACAGCATTTCCCCACATACAGCCAAGAAGTGAATGACCAATTTTATTACAGAAGCTGTAAATTGTATTCTTACCATGTTGTACCAGGCACTGACAATCAGTTTCTCCTCATGATCCCTTTGATTCTTTGTCTTCTCATACTCATTCTAAAGGTAAATTAATAAAATCAACACATTTGAGTCCAATAGCATTAGTTGTTCGGTGTCTAGTTCAACAAAACAGTAATATAATTCTAATCCCTTCAGTGCAGGGAAAGGTAGATCAGTGTTTTGGCTCCAGTGGAGACTTCTTATGACCGTTAACTTCGCTGACTTCCTGGAGAGTGGCAGGGTTGATCTGTACTGATGCCTGAACTCCTCTTGCCAAGAAACTCTTAGAAGCCAAACTCTAAGAAAGAATCGCTTGAGATGAGTAGTGAAGGAAAATGAATAGGCATATTGTTGAACATGCTGTAATGACAGCTAACACTGAAAGTGGAATCCAAAAAACTTTCTGTGACAAGACTGACAAGGGAATGTACAGGTCTGTATGCTCGTTCACTGGTGACAACCAGTTTCATGACACACTGCCTGATCACTTGAGCAACCATCTTAAACATCTTGTTTAAGGGTCCAAGCTCCAGAAATAAGGAGGAATCCATCTGATGTTTTGGAAACTGCAAATTAATGTGAATAGAAATTGCTGCTTTCTAGCCCTCTGAAGCCTGCTCGACCCAATGCAATCGAGGAAAGTAAAGTTTAAATTTAGTGACAACTTTATCAGGACTCTGCTGTGCTACTGTTCCCTTGCTCTGAAGCCAATTTTAGCATCTCTATTGCTTCTCCATTTAAGCTTATCTAACTCAGCACTCTCCATGGAAGGTTCAGAAGTGCACTAAAATTCTACAAAATTCTACAGAAAGAGGCAAATAGGGACTCTGCAGCTCAACTTGGCTCCAAGTTGATATGCTTGGCAACGCAATGTTGGACACATGTCTTGCAGCTGTCTTGGAGGTCTGGTTACTGAGCCCGGCTGGTCTTCAGTATTGCTGAGTCAGCCTGGCTCATTGGAATGATTTGGAAAAGCAGACCAGTCACTGGAGCAGGGATTCTTACCTGTTAATGTAAAGGGCGGCATGAAGGGTGCTATATAAATGTAAGTTGTTGTTAACCTGGAAGTCAAAGGCCTAATAAATAGGATAGTCCTAGCTGGACTAGCAGTAGGAAGTTTGTCAGACATTGCTATCAATGACAAGCTATGTGGTTTTATGGTTAGACTCCAGCACTACTCCATTGCTTACTCTGGAGTGCCCAAGTCTCGACTCTTGCCAACATGCATCTAATACTTTCTGGAATTAAATAAGCAGTATCTATCTCTCTGGGAGAGTCCGTATTCCATTCCAGAAAGGGGAATTTCCACGTGTGGGTAGCATGCCACAGAACCTTTAGTCTGGTTTCGATTCTCTTAAATGCTCAGCGTGAAATGTATGAGAGCATTGCCACCATCTTCCAGTCCACAGCTTGGGCACACATTCCTACACAATGACCCATGTCTCCCATCAGTTGGAGGAATGGAGCTTGAGCTACTTGCCTCTCTGCAAACCAAGCAAGGTCCAGTCTATGTCCTGGATATACAAAAGTGTGTTCTTAAACATGGAATCCCTTCCAGCAGCTGTCATCCCAAGCCTCAGTGTTTTCTCATTAGCTATCTAATGAATAGATAGATAGCTAATGAGAAAACACTAAGGCTTGGGTTTCATCTGCTTCCGCATGGTGGGAGGACCTTTACTGGACAGCTTGTGACGTACCAGCCACCTTGATGTCCTCGAGGTCCAGGTCCAATATTGTGTACTAGGTTTACTCAGCACTGGCTGCTTAATCAAGCCCAAATGGGATTTGGCAAATAGACATGCCTGCTGTGAAGCTGTTTCCACATCTGTGGGGCTTAGCAACAGATCTGTCTAAGCTGGAGGCCTCTCTCCCTGCAGCCAGCTCACTGCTTGGTCTTGGACTTCCCGTGGGCTGGAGGAAGCTCTCTATTGAATTGCACTCAACCATAAAGGAGAATTGTTTGGACACTAGACTTTTATGCCACGAGCCTGACCTGCATTCGGACCTTGAAGAGAGATGAGAGCAACCACAATACCATTCAGCACTTCTCCCTGTGGTCCTAACAACCCCCAGAAACTGATAAGAATCAACTGGGACCGATGCCCATAGTATCTTCCAATCAATAGCCTCAATGCCTTCTCTTGAGCCGTGCAGAACCATGATTTCAGTTACGGACACCTGCTATCATAGTCTAATATTCAAACAATGAGTGCAGGGCACAAGAAACCCAGGTGAGTTCGACAGCAGCACAATATCGTCTACAAACAGAAGCACCACAATCCTGTCAGGAATGCCTAGAACAAATATAGCAAGTCCAGCCATCTCAATGCCAAGAATCTTACCCATTGGAAGAGATGAAAAGTCAAAATACAGACAACTATAGAAACATACATGCTCTATATTAATTCTAGATAAATTTCCAGTAGAAATGCAAAGCAACATTTAGCAAATAACAAATAACATTTTCTGCAAATTATACAAACAAATGCTGTACTTTCACTTCATATTTTCCAATTAAAAGCTACAAGAGAACATTACCATTAAAGAGTGAAACATTCGCTCCTTCTCCTGCAGTTGGTTTTTCAGGGCCTGAACCTCAGGGGCTGCTCCCTGGTTCTGTTTGGGATCCAAGGTTCTGATAACCTAAAATACAAAGAGCCGTTACACCATAGAATCTGAACAACTGACAAATGGCTGATAGTAACACACAAACTAACAAAAGAATAGTGGGGCCACTAAAAACTGCAAAACAATTTGGGAGAGGACAAGGCTAGTCCTCATGTCATTAATCCTCATTCTTTTGGATGAATCTTCTCTGCAAACTCAAGTAATAATAGTCCATGGATCAAATGTGGCCCCTATCAGCATGATGCATGCTTGCAACCCAACAGTTTGCTTCATAATTACTCTCACCATCTATTAGTGAAAGCTGTGGCCATGGTAATTATGCTTCTTGAGTATTAAAAATGTGCACCAGAACCACAAGGTTTACCTACAAAAAAAAGTGTATACTACAAGTTACATAATTGTACAACATGCCATAAAAATCACTTCAAGGTTAGGAGCAAGCTGAGATGAACAAATACTCCACGAGACACTATGATTTCTGTGTTGCTGGTGGGACCGGGAGGAGAGGGTGGAAAAGAGAGCAAGGCGAGGGAAGGAGTAGAGAGCGAATGGTGTCTGTGGAGGGAAAGAGGCCAGGATTGAACAGTGGAAGTGGGGGCGGATAAATATTTTGGAACTTTTGCTCGATTACCTTTGGGGTCCAGGGAGTATTTATGCAGAACTTTCCCCCAGGAGATAGTGGGTGGGGTGAAGTCCATTATAGGGTAGGTATTGCGTGGTCTGTGGAGGGTGCAGGCATGATGGGCCGAATGGCCTTTTGTCGTTCCATGCCTTCTCATGTTCAACAACTTCATCTGCAGTATCCTCCATTTCCCTAACTGTGCAACACAGCAATTCAAAGTCTTTAAAGGAGACTCCTGTAATTTTATTACAAGCTTGGATTGAATGTCTCTACTAAAATCAACATTAGAACTCTCATTATAGTAATTCCTGAAATGAAAATATGAAGGAAAAAAAAAAGCAAGTTCACCAGGTTGTTTAGCGGTAGAGATCAAAGTCGGCCTACACTTTGTATGTATGGAATGAGATTTTTGTTTGACCCAATTAGAGAGGCTTCATCACTCACACAATGGCCCAGTCCAGCATGGACCAGAGAATGTGTCAGATGGAAGATGATCAGTTTTCTATTTAAAATTCTACTGGATCCAACTTTTGAACAAAAACAAATAAATTTAAAAAAACTTACAGCAAAATGAAAGGAGGGTAAAGAGAATACATATTTCAAAAGATTGAGGATTATTGACAGTTAATCTACACTTTTTATATTCAGAGCTTTGCCGTATAAAGTATTAATTAGCCAAATATAGTGGCAAGTATAACAATACAAGTAATTTCGTTTATGACCACAACTGATTGGATATTCTGAAGACAAAGCTAAATGCAGTATTGCTCAACTGAGAACAAGCTAAGAAAATGAAAGAAAAACTGTCACGTAGTCATCTCAAATGCATCACGAATTGAAGTTGAATTCCTATTGTACAAAAATGTAGTTATTCTGTTTGCTAAATAGATTTTGCTTTGACCTGGTAATAAAGAAAATGGAGGTCAAAATGCTCCCATGATAGTAAACCTTGCATTTGGTCTAGTGCATTATCGCATTGCCAAGAGTATGCTTCACAGGATTTATGATGAAGTGTAATAACTATGTATTTTGCAGACAAATGTGGCAGCCAGAAATGTCAAACAGCCATGAAGTGAATGAACAATTTTATTTGGGAGATTGTTGGTCAGAACACTGGGAACAGTGACACAGAATCTTTATCATCCACCTGGACAGGGATATGGCCCTTGGTTTAATGTCTCATCTGAAGGACAGCACCTACAAAAATGCAGCAGACTCTTAGCACTGCATCTGTGACAGCCTAGACTGAATTCAAAGTCCTAATGTGGTGCTTGAACCCACAACATTTGACTCAGAGCTGCGAGTACTACCAACTGAGCCAGGCTGACATACTGAAGTACAGTCATCAAATAGAGTATGAGCAATGAATCAGATAAGACAAAGCTCAAGATGAGCTTCTAGAAATCAATTGAATACCAATTTAAAGAAAATCAAGTAATGATAACTCATTAAATTTTCAATCCAGTATACACGAATATAGAGAAAACATTCTTGGGGTGTCAAGCCAATTAGGCTGGATATAACTTACAAATATTTTGTCCAATTTAAATGTAATTGATGCATTTCAATACTGTGACTCTGGAGTGCCAACCTAGGCATGAGATGACAGTTTAACATTCCTACCTAAAAATGGATCCTATTGGTGTTAACAATTACTTTGATCCACCAGCTTCTCAGGTATTAACAAATTACAAATAACTGGATTCTCAAATATCAAAAATAACTAGATTCTCAAGAGCTTTCTGACATTACCAAAGGTCAAAGATTCATTGCTCATACTCTATTTGATGACAGTCCTTTTTTTTTCAAACTATGAAATAAGGTCCTTTGAGGAAAGCTGTACCTGTGTTTCTCAGGCAGATTAGGTACAGCTTTATCTTACATTAGATCTGATAATCTTGTTTCTTTTTAATGGAACTATGCATATCAAACAAACTACAGCTAGGATTAGAACTAGGGGAATGAAACGGCTTCTCTATTGGAATCATAAAATAGCTTCTCCATCCTACAAAGGACTGGATATGAACAGATCAACTTTTGGATCCTGAACACAAGAAATCTTGCTGACCAGTTTCGACTGAAATGTTGATAAGGCATAGTAATTTTCAATGAAACTATTTAATTGTATTTGCCTGAAATTCATGATAAATGTTCCATTATACGACACAATTAATGTGCATTTGATAGGAGATCTGCAATGGCTAAGGGAACAAGTCAGCCCAAATTCATTCTATTCAGTAGAAGGGTGAGTAGTCTACTCAGCTGTAATATAGATCTTATTGAAATTCTTCAATTTCTTATGGATAGCTTGTAAAAAGCACTTTCAATCTTTTTTGATAGGAAGCATCAATTTTCATCCTCTCCCTTAAGTCAAAAATGGGATGGAACTCTTTTTGAGATTCAACAAAATAGGATCAAATCCTATTTACATTGGAATGTTAAAAGGCTAACAATTGTTGACTGAGTTACCAAGGAAGGTAATTGAGAACATAAAATAATTCAAGAGTCACTAAATTAGATTCTGGAGAAAAAAAGGATTGAACGATATGGTGAAATGACTGGGTGGTGGGGTTGACATAAGAAAAACATGGAGGGTTTCAACAGCGTGGGGGAAAAAGGTAGTAACTATCCTGGGTAAGGTTGGGAAACTGAACGGATGAGGGCTGGGCTATATGGATTGAAGGACGGTTGGGGGTTGAAAAAGACCAAGGTTCTACACTGGCTCCATGAGATGGACCAGGCATTCATGCAGGTCAATATGATCAGCGCCTAAGATGAGAATGCTGACTGAAACACCTGTTTATAAACTACCTAAAGAATAACAGCCAGCAGATTCTTATCTGAACAACTTCAGCCTTTTTTAAAAAAAAATGGACATCCAAATTGAACTTGGGAAACAATCTAGCATGCCTAGACTTCCAAAATGAGTTGACAAAGTACCATATAAGAGACTCCTTCATAAACTGATGTCACTAGGTATCAAGGGTAAATCATAAATTCAAAATTGATTGAAGAGAACCAATGCAGAGGGTATTGTTAGAGAAACTTGGTCAAATGGGGAGAGCTCATGTAGAGGTATTATTTGAGGTGTCTCACAGATCTGGACTGGGACTTCTTCTATTCCCTGAATATATTAATGACCTAGATTCAAAGACATAGTGCAATGAAGTTAAATTTGCAGTTGGCACCAAGTTGGGGAAACCTTGGAATCAGAAAAGACAGCAAAGGTCTTACAAATCGAGCTTGAAAGGGTATATAAGTGGGTTGTTGACTCCAAGATAGCTGCATACGGGAAGCAAAAGAGAAGTAGACAAGGCCTGAAAGAGATCTGAGTATTAGTTGACTCTTTGCTTTCCATGTCAACACATGAAAAATATAAGAGTAGGGTTCAGTGATGATAGTTGAAGCTAGAGAGAATACATGTGAGGTCATAAGCATTTGAATTATGTCTGAAAGCAAACCTCTTCATAGAGGCACTTAATGCTGCAAAAGAGCAATCAGAACCGAGTTAAATGCTAGGTTTTTAGCCCATCACTGGTATCAATATCAGTCTCAAGTGGAGTCCTGTAGTTCAGTGGTTAGAACACTCGCCTCGCAAGCGAGAGACCTGGGTTTGATTCCTGTCAGGGTGAAATGTTAGGAAGTTTCCTTACTCCACATGCCTCTGTTTACCTAGCAGTAAGTAGGAACCTGGTTGTTAGTCGATTGGCGGGTCGCATTTCCAGGGGTAATAAGTCCTTCAAAAAAAAAAATGGGTCATTTCAATCCATGACTGTTTGTGGAACACTGCTGTGCGCAATTGGCTGCCGCATTTCGCCCATAAAATATACAGTCAATTCACTTTACAGTATATCTGTGAAGCACTTTGAGTTGTCTCGAAGACATGATAATGCACTACATCAAATGCAAAGATTGATTATTTATTTAATTAATACGCTGGGAGGCAGCAATAAGCACATTTATATATTGCCATATCAGTTGAATTCAGATCTCCAGAAATCATGCTCAAGTTGCACAGTGCTCTAGTCAGGCAGCACCTAGAGTAACGTGGACAGTTTGGTTGCTGTGACATAAGGGGAATGCCCAAACCCGAGAAGCAATGGAAAGGAGAGCAATAAAGGTGATCCCCAGTGTTTGAAGAATGAACTATGAGCAGTGATTAGACAAGCCAGGGCTCTTCTGTCTTGAAAGAGACATCTCAAGAGACGACATATTCAGGAGTTACTAAGAAGGCTAAGATGGAGACCAGAATCCTGGATTCATTTAAGAAACAGCTTAATGCTGTAAATGAGAGGACATTAAGTGGGTATTCTGAAAGGACAAGATCAAGTGGATTGAAGGGTCTTCATCATCTAAACATTTCTTTTTGTGACAAAATTATATTAAGGTTTCAAACACTATAGAAGTATACAATATCCTATGAGTAAACATTAATATACTGCTCTATTACATTAAAATACATTTAATTAACTTAATTTTAATAATCTTTTAAATTATAGTTTCAGGTAATTTCATAATCCATCTTTCCCCATATAAATAAAAATCTGAAAGCGTATACTAACACTCTTTGCCTTTTCCAGGTATTTCTTGTATCTGTCCTCCATTTGTTTCATATCTTCATCTTTCTTTCTCAGAGACTCTTGAAGCTCCTCAATCTTTTGAGCTACACAAAGCAGAAAGGCTGGTTTAGCATAAACAAGTTTGCATTGTGATTCAGCTTTTAAAAGACAAACTGTCAATTTCAATATTTTGCTAATACATAGCATGTAGGTGTGTAACTGGCTGTTTGTGAACTGAGGTTTTTGAAGTACCATGGCCACAATAACGCTCTGCTAGCACCCAATGGAGAAAACAGTCACTAGTTTAAGTCAATCTCCTCCAATTTAATCACCAGAGTCAAGCTTCTGAAATATCTCTTAAGTCCAATCTTGTAATATCTTACTATACAGAAAGCAAGTTTAGGGGGAGTATTTTCTGTTCAAAGTAGCACATAGAATAGAAACGTATAATTTATGTACATTTTACATGTACCTCCCACCCCAGCCCCTACCAATCCCTCCCTCCACACCTTTGAACCTGTCTCCCCCTCCTCTCTCATCACTACCATAACCCGCATGAAACCTACCACCTGCTCCCTCGACCCCATCCCTAACCCCCCCTCCTTACCTTCCAGCTCCACCTCCTTATCCCTTTACTCATTGACATTATAGACTTCTCCCTGTCCTCTGGTACTGTTCCCACCCCAATAAAATACACCGTCATCACTCCTATACTTAAAAACCCCTCCTTGGACCCTTCACTACTCCCAAGCTACTGCCCCATTGCCAACATCCCTTTCTTCTCCAAGGTCCTGGAATGAGCTGTTGCTTCCCAGCTTTGCTCCTTCCTCTCCCGCCACTCCCTTCTCGAACCCCTCCAATCGGGTTTCCGTGCCGCCCACAGCACAGAAACACGCGATCAAAGTGACAAATGACATTCTGTCCATCTGTGACCAGGGCTCCCTCTGCCTTCTCGTCCTCCTTCACCTCTCTGCTGCTTTCGACTCTGTCAACTACTCCATCCTCATCCACCGCTTCTCCTCTCACCTCAACCTTCACGGCTCTGTCCTTGACTGGTTCAGATCGTACCTCTCACATCACCCTCCACTTCATCTCCACAAACGGCTTCTCCTCTAGCCCCCGAACCGTCTCATGCAGCGTTCCTCAGGGCTCTGTCCTTGGTTCCCTCCTCTTCAATATCTAAACGCTCCCTCTTGGTGACATCATCTGCAGACATGGAATCAACTTCCACATGTGTGTGAATGACACCCAAATCTACCTCTCTGCCTCCACCTTTGACTCCAGGACCACTACTGTCCTGACAGGATGTCTGGCAGACATCAAGTCCTAGATGAGAGCTAACTTTCTTCAGTTGAACATCAACAAGACCGAGGCTCTCCTGATTGGCTCCCGTCAGCGCCTCCTCACCATCCATGGTCCCAGAGATAGGGTGGGGCGAAACCATTGAGGGCTTTGTAGGTGAGGCCCAGGATTTTGAACTGGATCCTCTGAAGGAAAGGGAACTAATGGAGTCGGGAGAATGGGGTCACAGAGTTTGGTGCAGGAGAGGACACGCGCTGCAGAGTTCTGGATAATCTGCAACCTGTGGAGGGAGGAGTTGGGAAGGCCGACAAGCAGGGCGTTTGCATAGTCGAGCCTGGAGGTGATGAAGGCATGAGCAAGAGTTTCAGCGGCCTGAGGTTGAGGTAGTGGCAGAGTTGGGCGATGTTACAGGGGTGAGGGAAGGCAGAGCGGGTCATGGCTTGAATGTGGGGAAGAAAAGACAGTTGAGGGTCGAACAAGACACCTCGGTTCCTGACTGGCTTGGTGAGTTGTATTGTGCAACAATGGAGGTTGATGCTGCCAGAGCCTGAGGTGCTGAGGCGCTGGCACGATCCAATCTGGAAGGCCTCAGTCTTGTTCACATTCAACTGTAGGAAGTTTGCCCTCATCCAGGACTTGATGTCCAACAGACAGTCTGTCAGGACAGCAGTGGTCCTGGAGTTGAGGGTGGAGGCAGAAAGATAGAGTTGGGTGTCATCCTCATACATGTGGAAGTTGACCCCATGTCTGCGGATGATGTCACCAAGGGGGGGCATGTAGATATTAAAGAGGAGAGGGCCAAGGACAGAGCCCTGGGGGTCGCCAGACGTGACAGTGCGGGGGCTGGAGGAGAAACTGTTAAAGGCAACAAAATGGAGATGGTAAGAGAGATAGGAATCGAACCAGGCAAGGGCAGGTCTGCGAAGATTAAGTAAGGAGGAGAGGCGGTGTATGAGGATGGAGGACAAGGAGGCAGAGGGAGCCCTGATCACAGATGTTCAGAATGTCACTAGTGACTTTGACCAGGGCTGTTTCCGTGCTGTGGGCAGCCGGGATTGGAGGGGTTCAAAGAGGGAATGGCGAGAGAGAAAGGAGCAGAGCTGGGACGCGACGACTCGTTCCAGGACCTTGGAGAGGAATGGGAGGTTAGAGATGGGGTGGTAGCTGGACAGGAGGGATGGGTCCAGGGAAGGTTTTTTTCAGGATGGGGGTGATGACAGCTGTTTTTAGGGGGGTTGGAACTGAACCTGTTGACAAGGAGAGGTTGATGACGTCGGACAGGAGAGGGGCCAGAAGGTGGAGCTGGGAGATGAGGAGAGAGGTGGGGATGGGATCGAGGGAGCAGGTGGTGGGTTTGAGTTTGCGAACAATCGCAGAGAGGGAGAGATAGGGTCAAAGGAGTATGGGAGGGGGATGGGTCATGAGGGAGAGGTGATGTGGGGTTGGCTGTGGACAGGGCAGAGGTTGCTGAACTTATCCCCACGATTTTGGTTTTGAGGAAATCCAGCATCTCACAGTTGGAGTTTGAGGAGAGGGTGGGCGAGGTGTGGCAAGGTGGCACACACCACCTTGCTAAGCCAGTCCAGAACCTTGGGGTCTTGTTTGACCCTCAACTATCCTTTCTACCTCACATCTGTGCCATGACCCGCACTGCCTTCCCCCACCTCCACAACATCGCCCAGCTCTGCCACTGACTCACACTGCAGGCCACTGAAACCTCATACATGCTTTCATTACATCGAAGCTCGACTTTGCAAACTCATTAATTGTTGGCCTCTCCAACTCTTCCCTCCAGAGGCTGCAGACCATCCAGAATTCTGCAGCCCATGTCCTCTCCTGTATTAACCTCTGCGACCCTATCTCCCCCATTTTTGCCCAACTCCATTGGCTTCCCATCACACAGAGAATACAGTTCAAGATCCTGGTCCTCACTTTCAAAGACTTCCATCGTCTTGCTCCCCCTACCTCTCCGACCTCCTAACCCCCTACCATCCTGCTCGCTTCCTCCGCTCAGCGGGCTCCAGCCTGCTTCACGTCCCCCACCTCACTCGCCCCACTATTGGTGGGCAGGCCTTTTGCCACTCTGCCCCCACCCTTTGGAACTCCATCCCGCAGTCTCTCCGTCTCGCCCCCTCCCTTGCCACCTTTAAGACCCATCTCAAGATCCTCCTCTTCGACTGTGCTCTCGATCTCCCTGCGTCCCCCCCTGCCCTCCAGCCTCCCCGACCTCGGGTCCATAACTCTGTCTGTCCAGCGCCTTGGGACATCCTCCCGACGAGAAAGGTGCTATACAAATGTAATTTTGTTGTTGCATTACTTGAACAGCAGCAAATGATTCAGCGAAAGCAAGCCTCACGCAGAACAGACCCAGTACCGTGCTTTACTGGGTTTGGGGTGACTCAAGAAGAGACTCTCTGGCAATGTCTAGAAGTAGGATCAAGGACGAATATATTCACTGATGAAACGAGATCTTCTGAGAATAGATTGAAAATTCAAGGCAAATCTACTATTGTTTTATTTGGAAGGTGTAGTACAGGGAATATATCTTATTTACACCATGAACAGTTCTCAAAGGCTCTCGTCAATATCTGACTTAAATTCGTACGACACTTTGATTAGACCACATTGGAGTACAATTCTGGTCTCCACGCTCCAAGAGTATCGCAACGAGTGCAGTTTAGGATTAGTACAATGATATTAGGTTACTGCTATCAGGATAGAGTGGATAGGTTAGCGCATTTTTTTGTTAGTGAAGAGATGTTTAAGAAGGATCTAATAGAGGTTACTATAATGTCAGATTTTCACATGAGGGAGAGGGGAATAAAAGGGCATAGAAGGTAATAAGGATTGGGTGAAGACTCATTAGCATGGACTAGATGGTGCAAGTGGCCTGTTTTTCATGCTGTACATTCTTTGCAAATCTTTGTAAATTCATCACTATGTGCTATACTGTCATGACCCTTTATTTTGCCTTAAACAGGAATTGCATGTGATTATTGTACAAATATTGTAACAAGGGAGTGTAAATAATGAGTTTCTTTAAATGAAAAGTGATGAAAAATTAGTTTCTGGATTAATTTAAAAATTAAGAAAACTTACAGCTATTGTTATATTTTGGCTCCAAATCGTCAATGTAAGCTCGCTTCTTCTGAAGTTCAGTGTGAGCTTCGTGCAGTTTTTCCCTGAAATAGCCAAATACAATGTTATAACTCTTAAAACATTAAAAAGTGGAATTAATGGAAAGACAATTTCTACTAATTTGTGGTATTCATGAATACTTAAGGAAAATACTATTTTAGAAGCTTGTCCTGAAATCTCTCAAATCACCAGTTGTGCATTTCGACATGGCATTTACTTTAAATAAGGTTATCTCACAAATGCTGAAGCATAATCAAAGATTGCGTGTGGGGTGGGGAGGGGGGGAAGAGAAAGAGAGAAATGGATCATAGTAATGAAAAATTTATATTTTTGATATTGTGATTATCTTCTCAATTTTTGATCAAGAAAGCAGATCAAATTGCTTGAAATCAATCCCAAGAAATTGATACAATTAGATTTTTCCCCCTGCAAGATGCTTTAAAGATTAAAGAAGCACATATTGAATCTTAGATCAGACATAGATGGTAGTGCAGTTGCTTGACATGGGGAAACCTTACCAAGGGAAGTAATCCATTTTTCTTTTTCACACGTTATTCTCAATATATCAAAAACATTCTCATGCAACAGTGCTCTAGAAGTGGGGATTCTTAGACCTGCATTCAGCAGCAATCTTCCAAATGGAACAACCTGTTCTCTTTCTCTGACAAATCCAAACAATAGTGTTTAATAAAAAAAGGTGTTAATTATCAACTTTAAAAATATTATCAAAGAACTCTTTACAAAATCATTGGCATATTGAGCTTTTATCAGCCAAGCTCCCAAAGCACCCCCACAAATACAAATGAAAGAAGGGTGCATATTTTATTGGATTGAATGTTTCTGTGATAGATGTATATTCACGGGTTTATAATGTCTCAGAACTTATTACAATATGCAGGGTAAGGAATAAAGTATCCACCAAAGCAGTGTTCACTATCAGTCTAGACTATGTACTATAAAGTCCTGTATGATTCTCAAACACATAACCAAATAAAAAGCATTTCTGAAACTAAATTTTCCCACAGATCCAAGGAACACCATACCAATAATGGGCTTAAAACACTGATGTGCAATCTGGATTTGCCTGCAGAAATTTACCCAGAAAGATATTGCATCAGTTTGGAGTTCCTGTGGGCTGACGTGTCACATGTTCAGTTACTGGCAGGAGTCAATATTTACAAATTCAGAACATCACTTTCACTTTTTGATTTCAATGCGAGTCTCATGATCTGTTCAGGATTTGCCAATATCAATAGGGCTGAAATGAATCTCACTTCCTACAACTAAGTTTGCTTAATTCACCATATAATTTAATCACGATTGTGTTATACTTCCAAGTTAGTAAGTTCATTGTGGTGGTAAAAGGGATGGTCTTTCAAGGAAGAGAAGGAGATACAGAAACAACTGCTTTTACATGATGGACAAAGCTTTCCCACTAGTTTTAATTAAAATAAACTTGCTGCCTAGACTCTGAAGTTCTGATCACCCTTCCACATTTATTTTTTTGTTTCTGGATTGTTTACCCTGACCAAACTCTGTACACCCAACTCACCAGTTCTAGCCAGGGTCCACTGGCTTCCCATCACCGAACGGATCGACTTCAAGATCCTCACACTCTTATTCAAATCCATTCACTCCCTGGCACCTCCCTACCTCTCTGAACTCCTCACTCCCCAATCCACCACCTGGCGCTTCCAATCGACTGGCACCAGCCTCCTGCTCATCCCTCGCACCTTCCGCTCCACCATTGGAGGTCCATTGGACATTGCGCTTTCAGCCACTACCCCCCGAAATTCTGGAACACTCTCCCTCAATCCCTCCGCCTTGCCCCTTCTCTCCCTTTTTCAAGTCCTGCCTGAAAACCTTCCTTTTCGACCATGCTTACGGCCACCTTTCCACCACCCCCCCAGTTCAGTCAGGCTCTGCCACTGTTAAGCGCTCTGAGAGACTACCCTGCATGGAGGGCGCTATATAAGTGCAAGTTGTTGTTGAGCGCTTATTTGTTGTGTTCCTGTTTGTGCTCTGCGTTGAAGGTGGTGGTAGAGGTTTCTCCCAGGAGTAACATCCGCGCCATGACCAGCACTGCCTACCACCACCACCTCTGCAATATTGCCAGATTCCGTCACCCCTCAGGCTGCCGAAACCCTCACCCACGCATTCGTCACATCAAGGCTCGATTACGGGAACGCCCTCCTCAACGGCCTTCCCAACTCTTCCCTTCACAAGCTGCAGGTCATCCAAAACTCTGCAGCTCGTGTCCTCTCACGCACCAGGCTCTGCGACCCCATCACTCCCACCCTCGCCTGACTCCACTGGCTCCCCATCCCCCAGAGGATCGAGTTCAAGATCCTCGTCCTCACCTTTAAAACCATCCATAGCCTTAACCCCTCCTACCTCTCTGACCTGTTGACTCCCTACCAACCTGCTCACTCCCTCCGTTCATCAGACTCCGGTCTGCTCCATGTCTACCGCCCAACCATCGGTGGCCAGGCTTTCAGCCTCTCTGCCCCCACACTCTGGAACTCCATCCCATGGTCCCTTCACCTCGCTTCCTCCCTTACCTCCTTCAAGGCCGGTCTCAAGACCCTTCTCTTCGACTGTGCCTTTGGTCTCCCTCCCACCCCTCACCCCTACACCACCCCTCCCCCATGCCTCCCCCATCTTGGGTCCTGACCCCTGACTGTCCAGCGCCTTGGGATGTCATCCTAACGTGAAAGGCGCTCTATAAATGTAATTTTGTTGTTGGGTCAGGATACAATACAGACTTTTCGCATATGGGTGTTTGTTCAAACCCAGGCTAGATACACTGGAGTGAAAGTGTGTGCCCTCTCACTGCCAATTATAAAGCTTCTAAATGAAAGGAGTTTGGGGAGTGTCAATTCAGTTCTACAAGGATACAGTTGGAAAACGTTTATGAAAAATTATTTTGGAAAGACTTACATGAATAAGTGAGTGATGGCAAGAGTGTTTTAAAACACTGGTTTCAAATTAATTACTGAGTTGTTAAATTGGATTTGAGCACATCCATAAACATACCACTCTCAGCACACCCACCATGAAAGTGACTCAGTAACTTGGATGAAAAATCTAGTTAAATCTGTTTACTTGCTTTCATTGTTCGTATCTCACCAGCCACACAAATGTTTGGGGTAAGAATAGGCAGAAGTGAAGTAAATGAAGTAAACTCCATGAAGTAAATTCAAATCCCTTCATGGAGCAAACGTATAGCCCCTCTGTATTGCCAAACCCTTAGTTTTAGAAAATTTCCTGGCCTGCAACATTCCTGCATAAGGAATGAAGGAATTTTGAGGTACACCGCGTTCCATGAGACACAGCATTTTGTTTGTGATAGGAGATGTCTTCCAAAGTGGGGGTGGGGGGCAACTTTTGCAATGGGTGTTCAGTATGACTATTTTTGTTTATGGTCAAGACGATGGAAACTGTACAATTTAGGAACAATCCAACAATCCAGGTCAGTTGTAGGTTCATAAAAATAGCGTGTATGGTAAATTTAAAAAAATTACTTACAAGTGTTCTTCCAGTTTCTTCTTCAGAAGCATTGACTGAAAAAAAAGTGTAAAGTTCATTCAAAATGTAAAGCTAAGTTGTAGAGGCATCAAGTTTCCAAAACAATTCAATAGATGTATAGCAAACCAATTGATCAATTATTAATTAACTTCAGGGATTCATTGATATTTCTAAATATGTGTTTGATATTACCAAAAAGTTAGTAGATACTGCTTTAAAATGCTATTTAAATAAAACCATACTCACAATAGCCTATAGCAGATAGCATGCGAAGAAATAGAGATCATATATTAGTATGAAGCAAAAATAGCAGCGAACAGTTGAAACTGTAATGTTTAGCAATGTTGAACAGAAAAGTTTAATTCATTTAGTTTCTGACACATGCATGCTTGATTGGCATCAAGAGCACTTTCATCATGTCTCCTGATTATTCATATGCATTTCATTATATATATAGCAATTTCAAATACATTCAACAACTTGCACTTATATAGTGCCCTCCACGGAGGGCAGCGTCTCAACAGTACTTAACAATGGTGGAGCCGGACTCCAAGTGGGGGAGGGGGTGGGAGGTGACATCACCAAGAGGGAGGTTGAGGAGTTTAGATCCGTAACAGAAGGTTTTAAGGCAGGACTTGAAAAAGAGGAGGGGGCAAGGCGGAGGGATTGCAGGAGAGTGTTCCAAAGTTTCAGGGTGTAGTGGCTGAAAGCTCGACCTCCAATGGTGGAGTGGAGGATGCGAGGGACAAGCAGGAGGCCAGTGCCAGTCAAGCGGAGGTGCCGGGTGGTGGATTGTGGGGTGAGGAGGTCAGAGAAGTAGGGAGGTGCCAGGGAGTGAATGGATTTGAACACGAGTGTGAGGATCGTTCGCCCACAAATATACAGTTCACTTTAGTCTATTCTGTGAAGCGCTTTAAGACGTCTAGAAGATGTGAAAAGCGCTATATCAAATGCAAGGATTATTATTATTATCTTGAAGTCGATCCATTTGATGATGGGGAGCCAATGGAGCCTGGCCAGAACTAGTGAGATGGGGGTACGGAGTTTGGCCCAGGTAAGTACGCAGGCGGCAGAGCTCTGAATGAGCTGGATTTTTTGATTAGTGAAGCTGGGGAGATCGGCGAGGAGCGCGTTTGAATAATCCAGGCGGGAGGTGCCAAGCACATGCACAACAGTTTTGGCTGCATTTGGGGTAAGGTCGGAGGGGGTCAATGTGGTGAAGGTGAAGGAAGGCAGTCCTGGTCAGGGACCAGGTGTGGGGGAGGAAGGACAGCTGGGGGGTTCAAATGGATGCTTGAATTGCGCACTGGTTCGATGAGTCTGAGGGGGAGCCCAGGGAGCTTGAGGAGTTTAGATCCGTAGGAGTGAAGACGTTGACAGGAACCAAAGAGTATGGCTTTCCCCTTCTCCACATTCAGCTACAGGAAGTTTGCACTCATCCAAGCCCTGATGTTTGCCAGAGAAGCTAAATAGAACATCGGCAGACCTAGAGTTGATATTGGAGGAGACGAAGTAAATTTGGCTGCAGATGACATCACCAAGAGGGAATAAATAGATAAGGAAAAGAAGGGGCCAAGGATGGAGAAGGGGGCCCAGGATGGACAATATAAACAGTTTTCTGCTTCCAGACTAAAACACAAATGGTATGACAGCAAGGAAATAATAATAATTCTCTTGTTTGATATAGCACCTTATCAGATAAATGGGTTTCCATTTCTGATTATACACCATGTGCTGACGATTCTGTTTCTGGTTTTTATTCTAAGTCCCAAAGTATAAATAACAATTCTTGTATATGATAAAATGGACCATCACATCATCAAAATCTCTCAATTAAAGACAGAAAGGGAAAACAGGAAAATATACAATTTACATATCAAAAATATGGCCTTGTCTTAGAATCTAGCCTTGTCATAAAATGTAATCTTCTCTGAAGATTAATTATTATTTACAATCTGTCATTATTAAGGCTATTAAACACAGCTGTGGAAAACTATTTGAATTTTCTTCCATCTTATCATTCCAAGGCTCAGCCCTGCTTCTTTCACACAGAATAGCATCTGGAGTGCTGTCTTACAGTAGCACATATACCACTCTTCTACGAAGAAACCTTAATAATCAAGGTCCAAGGTGAAAATATAAGCAATGTAAATTTCTTTGAATAATCAAGTCAAGTACTAATATGCTAGATAGTTAAATGGAACATGTTAATACTAAAAGGCCGTTTTAGACAGAGTTCCACAGTACAGAAATTTAAATTAAAAATCAAACTAAATATCAGAACAGGTGCCACTTCTAATTCCTTGCCTTGAAAACCCCACTACAGCCACCTTCCCCCGCCCTGCTTGAAACTCTTCGAGAGGATCTCCTAAAGTTAAATACACTATACAAATGTAAATGTTGTATGATGAGACAGAGTCTGAACTCCTGAAAAAATAAAACAAAATAAAGAATAAACCACCTAACTTTACAAATTTTCCTCAATGACCAGTGACTGATCACCTTTAAAGGTGATTGAAGATCACATATGAAAAAGCTCAAGGCATATATTTTGCCACGATTAATTAAAAGAGAAATGAAAGACCACCACAGGATAATTAGCCATAGAACAAGAAGGATGATCTCTTTTTAAAAAAGCTAAAGCTATAAATAGATAATCTTATAAAAAGCTTCTAATTTAAATTGTTTTGTCAACATACTTTAATACCTACTGAATATTAAATTCAATGACCTATGATCTATGAATAAAAAAACATATTGTACTTATGGAAAAATAATAAAACCATGGAACAGCATTATTTTGAACATTCAGAGAGAAAATATTACTTGGTGCACGTGCATGAAAACTGTGCAATAGGAGTGCACAGCCAGCTGGAGCACACTAAAATAAATAAAATGGCCAATTTTCAGGTGACTGGTCACTGCCAATGTCACTTCTCATTCCCTGTGCATATGCAAACAGTCAGTTTTTGTATGAGAAGCTATGAATGGGTAACTTCTGGGTTAAATTTGCAGGGTTTCTGATAATTTGATGTGTTAACAACTATAGAAATAGCGATTAATAATCACTGAATTTTTGCATTTGGTATAGCACCTTCAGGTCAGCTGGACGCCGTAAAGTGCAGAATATACTGTGAAGTGGAGTGACTGTATTTGTGGGTGAGACGCAGCTGCCAAGTTGTCCACAGCAATGTTCCACAAACAGCCAGGAATAGAATGATCAATTTTACTTGAGGACTGTTGGCCGGGACACTGGGACAAACTCTCTTCTCTTTTCGCCATGGGATCTTTAACGTCCACTTGAACGGGCAGACGGAACTTTCGTTGTTAACCCCTCATCTGAAGAATGGCAGCTCTGACGATGGAACCCCCTTCCCCAGTACAGTGCCAGATTAGACTATGTGAATTCAGGTCCAAAATGGGGCTTGAACCCACAACCTTCTGACTCAGAGGCGAGAGTGGCACCAGAGGCAGACACACGGTTTAACTTTCTATTGTATTATAACATTATTAGTATTGACATACAACAGACATTGTTTAACACTAAATAACCCATGGGGGAAGAACACCCCTCCAACTTCTAGAGTATAGTTTCACCTCTTTCCGTTTTCAGACTGCAGAACTATAAATTCAAGCAAACATTCAGCAAAGTTGAAATGAATGTTAGAACACTTCTAACACTCCAGGTTGCACTCACATCTTCTGCTCTTGAACCCTGATCTTGTAATGCCTTCTGAAGTTCTTCAACCTGAGACTGGATTTCCAAGACCCTCTGATTGGCTAGCCTTTTAACAAGAATTGAAAATAAACTTTATTAAGTTATTTGTTCAGGTGTCACAACCATCCTATGCTTTGCCACTCTGGTTCATATTCCCCTTCACTTCCTAGCCTTCTTTGCTTCACCCTCGTTTCCACTGTTCTAACCCACACGCATTAATTTCCACATAACATGTAGGAGCAGGAGTAGGCCATTCGACCCTTCGATCCTGCCCCGCCATTCAATCATGGCTGATCTTCTAATCTAACTCCAGCTAATAACCTGACCCTGCCTTATCCCCATATCCCTTAATCCCTTTAGCAATACGAAATATACCTATCTCAGTCTTGAATATGTTCAAGGACTGAGCGTCAACAGCCCTTTGGGGTAGCGAGTTCCATACATTCACCACCCTTTGAGTGAAGAAGTTCTTCCTCAACTCAGTGTGAAAGGGCTGGCCTCTGATTTTAAGGTTGTGACCCCTGGTTTTAGTTTCTCCAACCAGGGGAAACAATCTCCCACTATCTACTCTATCATGCCCTTTGATCATCTTATAGGTTTCTATAAGATCCCCTCTAATTCTTCTATATTCTAGAGAATATAGGCCCAAATTGGTCAGCCTATCCTCGTAACTCATCCCCTTCATCCCTGGTACTAACCTAGTAAATCTACACTGCACCCCCTCCAAGGCAAGTACATCCTTCCTTAAATAAGGAGACCAAAACTGCACACAGTATTCCAGGTGTGGTCTCACCAGGGCCCTATACAGTTGCAGCAAGACTTCCCTACTCTTATACTCTAATCCTTTCATAATGAATGTTAACATACCGTTCGCCTTCCTAATTGCTGCTGCACCTGCAGACTAACTTTCTGTGATTGGTGTACAAGGACACCCAAGTCCCTTCTTAAAAAATAACCCGCTCTACTGTTTTTGCTACCTAGGTGGATGACTTCGCACTTCCCTACATTATACTTCATCTGCCACCTACCTGCCCAATCACCTAACCTATCTATGTCTCGCTGCATTTTTTTAATGTCATCCTCTGTGTTGACACTTCCTCCTAGTTTTGTGTCATCCACGAATTTAGATATATTAACTTTGATGTCCTCATCAAGATCGTTGATGTAGATGGTAAATAGCTGAGGCCCAAGGACTGATCCTTGTAGCACTCCACTAGTCACATCCCGCCAATCAGAAAAGGACCCGTTTATCCCTACTGATTGTTTCCTACCCGTTAACCATTCCCCAATCCACGTTAATATGCTCCCCCAATTCTATGGGTCCTTATCTTTTAGACTAACCTTTTATGCGGCACCTTATCAAATGCCTTCTGGAAGTCCAAATAGACCACATCCACTGATTCACCCTTATCTAGTTTACTCGAAATATCCTCAAAAAACTCTATGAGATTTGTCAAAATCTCCCTTTTGTAAAGCCATGTTGACTTGGCCTAATTATATTGTGCTCCCCTAAATACCACAGCACCACATCCTTAATCAACGATTCTAAAAATTTTCCTATCACTAATGTGAGACTAACTGGCCTGTAGTTCCCCAACCTTTCCACCTTTTTTAAATAGTGATGTGACATTTGCGATCTTCCAATCCATGGGGACTGTTCCAGAATCCAAGGAAGGTTCTTCATCTCTTCCCATCATTACTCATGGCCTTATCCTCCTTATGTGTGTGTGTTTTTTTAAATATCTTCCCTTCTGCTCTCCACCACACTGATCTCTCAAACGAGATGTTCAAACTAAAGCTCACTTTTCAATTACATAAACAAAAAATATGCATAGCATAGAAAACCAGCAACACACCTAGCCACATTCTACCGTATAATCAATGTGTTTCTCTATATTAGGTCTATTACCTTTTCAAGATAGTCAAGAGATATGTGAGAGGAGAATTCTGAAAGAGTGATAATCAATTTCAGGGAGTCAACAAACAATGGGGAGAACATGGCAGTTCAATGCCCTGATCTCATCATTAGAAAATTGATATCAATAATCAGAAGCAACATGGAAGATTACCTGCATGAAAATAACTTAATAAATGACAGCCAATATGGCTTTAGATCTTGCTGACCATTTATTCCAAATTAATGATGGGAAGCCATATGCTATTATGCCATGAAATGTTTTATTTGGTAAACTTAATAGCTAATGTGCATCATTTAAATCCATTACCTACTGTGCAAACCCTAAGTAGATTAGAAAAATGATCCACATCACAGCAAAGCAGTTGAAAACTGGAATGTTTCATACCTATTCTCAGTCTCCAATTCACTCTTTCTTCTGTTGGCGTCTTCCAGTAGGCTTTGCAGCAGGGCTATCTTTTCATTATCAGATCCCTCCTGGTTTATCTTCAGCATCTTATTTTCATGCTGCAGCCGGATAAGCTTTTCCCTAGAGCAAGAATAGGAAAGAGCTAGCAAACTGCACTGCAAAAATAGACAGCAAACTATGGAGAATATTAAGTAGGTTTTTAACACCAGGAAAGAAGAGTAGAAGAGAGAAAAAAAATTGGGAATAAGAATAAAAAGGCTCCTCCAGCATAAATAACAGGTAGAATGGAAACAATCTTAAAACAAAGTAAAGGGGATTATGAGAATAAGAGACCTAAAAGAGAAAATGAGATTATGATCGCAGGAAACATAACACACAATTTGAAAGGGTTTTATAAATCAAGCACTGAGATGTTACCCTGCATGAGGTGCGCTATATAAATACAAGTTGTTGTTGTGTATATTCAATGCTTTTGTAAATATATTCATAGCAAACAGGATGTAGGATTGCTAAAGTATCCTGATAGGGAAAATCAGAGCTGCAGAACAACTGGTCACAAATTAGCAACCAACAACAACTTGTACCCTGGGGAAGCTGAAGGAGGGCAGAAATGAGGGGAAGTCAATACAATACAGTTTTAAGAGGATTTTGAAAGCATGGTTTTATTGGGGTGAATGAGTTAATGTCTGGCATACAACTGGTCAGGACAACAATAGTCCTAGATTAAAGTTGAGAACCACAGAAGAGATTGGTGACATTGACATACATGTGGAAACTGACAAAGTGATTCTGGTATCATCAAAAATATCTATCAGCCTATTATTTGATTAATGCACATTATTCTTAGTTTGGATGGAAATTAGATCTTTTACTTACTTTATTTCAGGCGTTACTATCTCTGCTGCTAAACTGTCGGATGTTTCTTGACTAGTCAGTGGGGTAAGTCCTTAAGGAAATGCAAGAATGAATGCAAGTTATGCCATCTGAATAAAACTGTATGTATTTGCTGTAATTGCATCAAACAGTCAAGAACGAAAACGGGAATAAAGGTTGTGACACTGACCTGCTGTGAGTTGGTCTTGATGCACTTGTACGCACCTTAGTTCTTCAATAGTTTCCTTCAAGGAATCTCTCTCAGTTCTTAACCTCTACAGAAATATTAAAGTTAAAAAAAATTCAAATAAAGTACATCTTGCACATTATGAGGCTTTCACTTACCTAACAATTATACTTTTGAAAATAAAATCAAGTTACTCTTTCTCCGCAATTAACATCTTACTGCAATTGGCAATTTTTTGGGGGGCAGCTGCCTGTGGAAACCCATCGCCAAGCTGAGATTTCCATGCATCTCACCAACACATGGAAATCCTAGAGATAGATTGTTGGAATGGAATGTGCACTCTCCCTGGAGGGATGCATCCTGCTTACCTAATTCCATAGAGAATTAGGTGCAGGTTGGCAAGCGCCAAGTTTTGGGGACTCCAGAGTGTAGGTTGGGGTACTGCTGGAATCTACCCAGCTAAAACCACATAGCTTGCCATTGATCTCGCTGTCTGCCAAGCTTTTCCCGCTGCTTGTACACCTAGGATCATCTTACCCATTAGGCTTACAGAGTTAATGGGATCTGAGTGGGGTGACTCCCTGACTCCAGTGACTGGTCTGCCTTTCCAAGTAATTCAAATAAATCTTCAGCAGTGCCCTGGAGCACTGACTCAGGATTACCAAGACCCCCACAAAGGGTTAAGAATAATAAATAATAATTACATTTGATATAGTACTTTATCATGTCGTTGAGAAATCTCACAGAATATATTGTATTTTGTGGGAAAAACGCGCAAGGCAGTGTCCTACAAACAGTCATGGATTGAGTGACCACATTTTTCTTTGGAGGAATTATTACCCCCAGGAAGCGATTCACCAATCGATTAACAACCAGGTTCCTACTTACTGCTAGGTAAACAGAGTCATGTGGAGTAACAAAACTTACCTAACGTTTCGCCCCACTGGGAATTAAACATGGGTGCTCTCACTTGCGAGGCGTGCGTGCAAACCACTAAGCTACGGGACTCCACCTGTTGGCTTGATTCTGACATTTCGTTGCCATATATGTCACCTTGGAGACAGTTTGGCTCTAAGGAGATCCTGCTTACAGGGTATGCATACGCATATACACCAAGAATGCCAAAGCAAAACATGTCTATGTCTATTTTCTTATATGGATTTTGTGAATCCGTAATTAATTTTGTCACTTTAACAATGGAGAGTGGCTAACTTTTTTTTTTTAAATCAGTACACTTCAGGGTATTGCCCATCCAGCACTGTGAATGGACTTTGGGACATCCTCCCAATATAAAAGGCTGTATATAAATACATGTATTGCATTAGTCTTTCAATGCTGGGTTTGCATCTTGTCCAAATTAGCAGTTACTTTGTGCCATATCAATGCAGTTTCTAACAGGCACAACTTTACTGTACTAAATTGGCAGTCTCATTTAAAGAGGCCATAAAAATGTCCAATATGAGTAATGGAAATGACACATCAGTGCAGAAATTTGGGTTATTTTTAGTTTGAGATTAAAGCATGTTGTTCAGGACACTGGAGAAGAAAGTTTTCCTCTGGAATCCAAATTGTCTTATACCAGACTTGCAATTACTTGAAGCTGAAACTTAGCACATAAAGTGAAATGATTGCTTTCCTCTTTAATGAACTTGTAAAACAACTGATCACACTTTTTCAAAATAAATTAGATAATACCTTTTCAGTGGAATTATATTCTGTCATGCTTTAGTTGTAAACATTGCAATTTATAATAATACTTGCATTTAATAAAGTACCTTTCAAAGCACTTCACAGAATTTACTGTAAAATGTAGTGACTGTATTCTGTAGGCGAATGCGCTCCTAAAATGAATTGTAAAAATATATTTACATCTTTCTCTTTCTGGAGAGTGTCCACTTTTTCTTTCAGCCTCTTATACTCAAACTCCATTTTATCTGCCTTTTTTGACTCTTCGGATAAGCGGTTTTGAAGTTCGACAACCTAAAAAAAATTACATCAACAATTAGAAACAGAAACTAGAATTTTTGATCAAAGAAAATTTACAAACTTGACAATTTATGCACAATTGGAAGGATGCAATGCAAATTTTTTGAATAATTTTTCACGTAAATCTTGCAGTGTGCATTTGTTTCCAAAGTCTAATATGGAATTTTCTAAATTTAATCTGTTCCACAATTTCTACGAGCAGATTTCTCCAAAATGATGACAAAATATATGGATCTATAAACAGAAAGTAAAGTTAAACACACCATCTCTTCAAGGCTTTCTGAACAAAATTTACGATGATGAAGCTCCCTTCTTCAAAAAGATTCAGGTGCAAAAGTAGAGCAGCCCCTTTATAACATAGTAGCGCAGATAAAAAAAAATTAAACACTGCATTATAACGGGTCTGTGCAAAAAAAAAAAGGATGCTGTTCCACTTCATCTGGTTACCATCAGCATTACTTCTAGATTCTGTAGCGGACCTGCTGGATTTGTGCAGCTGGCCAGCCCTCATGGAAGAGTACTTCATTTCTGGTAGTGATGAATGCAGAGGAGACTCACATTCTAAGCAAACTGATGCTCTTGCAGGGTCATCTTGTAGTTAGATTTCTAAAGCAGCAAATCCTATCTAGGTACCAATTTTTAAGAAGAGTTGCCTGGGCAATATTTATCTTAGTTAAGCAGTTCTTTGTTTCCCAACAATTAACTATTAAGAACTAATTAAAATATAAAGTTCAGTATAAAATGGTTGGGTGTTGAACATTCAGGGTCAGTTCCATGGGAGAGACACGATAGTTAACTAATCCACAATAACACTTCATTTGTTTAGTGCCTTTCACGTCAGGGGGACATCCCAACGGCATAAAATATCTGCAAGAAAAATTCTGTAGACTTTGGAAGCAAAATTATGGCAATGATACGATCATGAAAATAATTGTTATAATAATACTACATATGTTGAGATGTTAGAACTAGAAAAGTGTTTTTTGCCATATCCAATTTTGGCCTAAAGCTGGGAGAAATTCCACCAGGGTGTTGATTTATTCTATGTAGCATTTCAGAGCATTTAGGATTTGGCAAATTGTTGAAGTTTTGTTTCACAAAATACGCAGTCAAACTATTTTATAGTATATTCTGTGAAGCATTTTGAGACGTCTCAAAGACATAAGGTGCTATATCAAATGCAAGGATTATTATTATAACTTGAATTCAGTCTCATTGAAGTTGATGCCTGTAATTTGTAAATTATAGAAAACCAACTTCAAAATGAAGGTTATATTTAAGAATTTGTCAAATTTTGGATGCTGTAAAAACAGGAGAGTAAACCTAGACTCAAGTGGAATTTCATTCTAGATGTCTCAAAGCGATTCACAGAATATACTGTAAAGTGAACTAACTGCGGTCGAAATGCGGCAGCCAATTGCGCACAGCAGTGTCCCACAAACAGTCTTGGATTAAAATGACTAATTTTATTATTGTTTGTTTTTTTCCTTGAGGGATTATCATCAGGCGTGTGGAGTAAGGAAACTTGCCCAATGTTTTGCTCTGCTGGGAATCAAACCCAGGTCTCTCACTTGCGAGCGAAATGCTCTAACCACTGAGCTACAGGACTCCTAATATAAACCAGCACCGTCTTTCAATTCTAATTCCAACATTTCTCTACAAATTCATACCTGTCTCTTATAAGTTTCTAGCTGTGCCCGGGCAGCATTTGCCTTGCGGAGCTCCTCTTCTAGATTGACCGTGTTCTCCATGTGCATTGTGTTCTTTTCCTCAAGGAGCTTCACCTGCCGCCGCAAGTCACCCAGATCCTCCAGCTTCTTTTTGTACACTTCTACAATGCCTTCCAGTTTCCCCACTTTATCAGACGAATGCCTAACTCAATAATAGAACTTAAATCAGCAAGAAAACAAAGCATAAATGTTCTTAAACAAAATCAAGAAATCATAGTAAACATTTTTTAAATGTGGGAGTTGTGTAAGAATTAAGAATTACTTAATGGCCTGTAAAGTCAAATAAATCAACCTATTTGATTTTTTTTTGTTAGGATCCACATCCTGTATCAAGCATGTATCTTTCAGAGAAGCAACACTGCAGTTGGTACCATTCCTAAAGTTTGCCTGATAAGCAATAATCTTGTTTCTCAGAATCATAGTCAGAAGACACTGGCCTAACCCAATATTTATCTTAAATGGCCCTGGAGAGGATGATTTTCTGAATTTGCAAACAGCAGGGAGGTCTTGATGAAATCTTCCAGACAAACTGAATAAGAGATCGAGATAGGTCAAAAAGCCCTCCATAAAGATCAAAACAGTTTCCTTCAGCTTTCAAAAATGACTCCCACAAAGCAATAATGAAAGCTACCACTACTCAGGATTTTTTCAATGAGTTTGATGCTACTATGTGGGTGGGGGAAGAGAGGATTTGAACACATTTATCTTTGTTCTATAAATTAAAAATAGAATTTAGTATTTAGAAAAACTGCAATGGCTGAACAGGGTATGGTTAAGAGGGATAGATTAAAAGAAAAAAGTAGGAAGTTTGGAACTCCATCCTGGATTGGGGGAGGTATCTACACAAGTTCAGCGGGCAGAAAAACAAAATCTGTGAAACAGATAAAATGCTTAACTTGCCAGAACTAGCTACAATTAAACTTCACGGATGGTGATGGTTCTGGCTCAAAATTCTAACGTTGTTAAATGATTGTGAATTTTCATTACAAAAGTCTTTACTTTTATACCTGAACAACTGTAATACAAACATTATCCTAGCAATAAAGGGCACTATTGCATAAGATAGTTGCAATCCTTGAATAGGTTTTAATACTAAAAGTTGGATACACAAATCTTTATTTCTATCTAATGCAATAGTGCCCTTTATTGCTAGATAATATTTGTATTAATCTTTATTTCATAGTAATCATCTAATTATTTCTTTGGAATAATGTTTTAAGCACAAAAGGGCATTAAGTTGTAATTATCCCATGAATTACCTGAAAATAATAAATATTAAATGTTCTGAGTTTTATAAATGTCCCTTAAAAACCAAGTGGGAAAAATTACACGTGCTAATGGTGCACATCCATTTCTAAGCACCCAATTTTTAAGCTCTCAGTAATATCTCAATATACACAGAACTTCAGCCCACAGGAGGGCACCAAGATCCAATCTTAGCTTTCAAAGCCAAAGTGATTTATGATTCATTAAAAGCGGCATTTTGTAGTGAGGAATACATTTCAAAGAGTTGCTTGATCAAGGAATCACATAAAGGGTTAGAGGTTAGAATGTGTTACAGACTTGAAATAAATGTTACACTTAGGAGTATTCAATCATGATTAGTACCTAAGAACGTCCATCTCATCCTTTAAAGTCTGGGCTTCATCTGCAAGGCTCGTAAGCTCTTCGTTTTGTTCTCGTAATTCAATAAGTTCTTTCTCAAGTTCCTCACATCGAATCCGAAAGTCATCTTTTGCTGCTTCTAATCTGAAATTAACAGATCAACTGCTTTTGTAAAGTTATTCAAATTCTTTCATCCATCTGGGATTTTGCAGCCAATTAGCTTTACAATAGATAAATAACTGAAATGTTTTAAATTTGTCAGTAAAGATGAGAAATGATAAAACATTTCTCAGTTTACTTTTGTGTTGAAAGTGAAGGATGTCACCACTAAAGAATAAACACGTGTGGTATCCCAATATTAACATTTAACCAAAACTTGGGCTTGGTGAGTAAATGCACCAAATAGCATGGTAGAGCATATAGCTGATGGCTTCCTTTCCTTTGACTGTTGTTTGCTCTAAAAATGGCCGATATTTGGGTCACTAAGTTGTCACAGATATCACTTTCTGCCTTGAGCATTACAAAGAAAGTGACAACGGCAGTGACTCAATGACCTGGATGTCAGCAGGCAAGGCGCTGCTCAGCTGTGCAATACACCTGTGCATTGAAACTGGCTGGCACACCAGTTGGGATTTTATGGATCAAACACCCACATTATAACAGGACTCCAACACATCTTCTAATGAGTACAAGGGTTGAAGTGCCAGCACGAAAGATGGGGGTGGATCTAAAATTTCTATTTTGCCAATGGTACAACTTTTGATTCAAGCAATTAACTATAAATACCCAGCCACTATTCTGTACATCAATTGCCTGTGAAGCTTTTTGAGACGTTATGTTATAAGCACTATATCAAACGCACACATTATTAATATGGATCAATTTCTAGTCTATCCTGGAGAGGATTACACATTAAAACTATTTCAGGCTTTGCTGAAATGTCCATTCTACAGAGACTAACTCATTCATTTAAATTCCAATTATAGTCAATTTTGATATGCGCAACACCACACTTCATCTTGTTTTGGTACGTCATATTAAACCTGGTACTTGACAGTTTAGCAATGTAGTGCAATTTTATTATCAGTACCATAGAAATTTACAGCAGTGTCATTATTGGTTCTTTGAAAGAACAATCCATTCAGTCTCATTTACCTGCCTTTCCCCATCCCCCTGCAAATAACTTCCTTTGCTAATTATTATAACTGTATGCCCTCTAGTCACGTATTCACTGTCCAGTGGAAATTATTTCTCCCCTCTGCACTATCAAAACCCATCAAAAACTTTCAACAGGCCTCCACTTTATTCTCATAGGTCAGTACCTGAAGGTTTCTTCTTGTAGCTGTTCCAACTGGGATTGAAGTTGAAGATGTCTACGTCCTGCTGGGCTGTTGGGGTCTTCAATGGAATCAGATTGGTTGAGGCGATCCATAAGAATTTGATTTTCTGCTAGTAAACTACTTTTTTCCTCTTGTAGAGCCGCAACCTATTTAAATGCAGAACAGAAAAAAAAACATATTAATCTGAAACTTACTTTGATGCAAATCTACAAATTGCACTTGTGTAGCTCCTTTCATATAGGGTGAACATTTGAAAGTACTCAACAGATCGAATAAGGAATCGATTCAGAGTCCAAATTCCATTATAATTATCTTCCAAACCTATGAACAGTATATTCAAAACGGTCATCTCCTTTTGACATTGTACTTTGCATTAGACTTAAACCTAGTCCTTAAGATTGTAAAGCACCTTTCTTACATCCTGTAAAACTGCAACTAATAGCTGAGTTGCAATACTTCAAATCAAGTCTTAAACTTCGGATCGCAAGTGTCACTCTTTTAGAAATGAATTCGGTATAAAGAAATTTATCAATAACTAAAACATAAAATAATAATCACTGCATTTGGTATGGTGCCTTATCATGTCACTGAACATCTCAAAGCTTTCACACAATTTACTATGAGGTGTAGTGTCTTTGTATTTTGTAGGCAGCCAATTTTCAAACAGTAATGTCCCATAAACAGCCATGACGTGAATGACTAATCTTTATCTGAGGGATTGTTGGCCAGGATATTGGGATAAACTCCCATCTCTTTTCAAATAGTGCCATGGGAATATCCACCTGAAATGACAAATAGGACCTCAGTTTAATCCCTTATCCAAATGACAACATCTGCAACAATGCAATGCTCCACATCCTAGGCTGAGTTTGAAGTCCTGACTCGCAGTTTGAACCTACAATCTTCCAAATCAGAGATGGGTGTTACCAACTAAGCCAGGTTGACCCCCTTAAAGATAGCTGTAAAAGGAACTAGGATATGGAATTGGTGTGGGTGCCTCATGGGTCAATGCTAGAACCTTTCTCTTGTTAACAATAAATAAAGTGGATTTTCTGACTCAGTGCAATGTAGTTACATTTGGAGTTGATATTAAGCAAGTGAATACTGTGGAATCTGAGGAGGAAGCCAAGGCAGATCAAGCACCCAGGCTGAACATTGGCAAACAGTGTTCAAAGTACCTTGGGATGTCTTCCTGACATGAAAGGCACTATACAAATATAATTTTGTGTTGTAAAGTAAGGTACTGGAAACAAACAAAAGAGGCATGTTTGTTTCAGGGATGAGATGGATGTTGCCAAAGGTAAATCTAGGGGTGTGAACTAACTCATCACTCACTATATCCCAACAGTGTGAGAAATCAATAAAAATGAACAGGATGTTGAGCTACACTGCATAATAGGTTAAAATCCACAAAAGTTATGTCAAAGCTTTACAATGCTACCACTATTTACCTGGAAAAGAGGGTAGACCACAGCAAGAAAGCTGGACGAAGAAGAATTATCTAAGGCGCATTTATATTAATCCAAGTTACAAAGAACAAAATGGGCGAGCTCAAAATATTGGCAAAGAGGGAGGAACGTATTGTGGGAGTGACTGAAATTTGATTCAGAAGAGAAGATGAATGGGGAAATTAACCTGTGGGAAACTAGTGTATCAGAAAGCACATAGAAAGGGGTAAGGGTGGCAATATTTATTAGGGTAAATTAAATGTAACTAAAGAAAAGGATATTGGAAATGAAACAGTCTATGGTTAGAAGACGCTAGGAAGAATATTTAGTGATTGGAATATGCTACAGGCTGCCAAATAATCAACAGAGGTTAGATCTATTGCTGAGATGATCAATGCAGGAGTCTGGGCAAGATTTAGCCCAATGATTAATAAGCAAAACATATCTAAAGTGCTCCGATACGCCATCGTTGTGAAGGGCGCTATATAAATGCAAGTTGTTGTAGAAGGTTCATAAAATTGGTAAGATGCCAGGTACTTGATATGACTGTGAGGAATTCAAACGCTTCAATAAAAGTTGTGCAACGTGACACAAACAAAACAGTACAGGTGATGAAGGAAGTAAAGGACTTCCAAAAGGAATTAGACAAATCCTGGGAAATTAAGTTGAGGTCAAGAGATTTATGCATCAAAATGAATCTTTTGAGAAGTTGAATGGGTCGGCTGCACAGACTAACTGTCTACGCCTGCCTTAAATTTACAATGTATGTAACTGTCTAGGACCATTGGCATCAAGACTGACTCAAAATACTTAATTTAAAAACAAAACCTTCCTCCCTTGCATTTAATGCTAACCCACTGACATTTTGTAAATTAGCTGTTGAGATATTTACGCCTGTCATGTAGCACCCAAGAATTGAGATGATCAACTCAGCAGTCTGGACAAAATTTATCTCAAAGATTAATGAGAAAATAAATTCTAAATTATAGGTTACTGATATTGGATTCTTCAGTTATGCTTAAACTAAATTGAAATAAAACACATTCAAAGGCATCACTTGAAAATTTTCAAAATACTAAACCTTCCACATGAAATACTTAAATAAGGTAGAAACAACCTATCAACTATTACAGGCACAGATGCCAACTTCAATTTAGCATTTGACAGCAAATGTTGTTGTTACTTTAAAAGATGCAAGGTATTAATTACACAACTAATCATACAAGATCCTCTGGCATATTATGAGGAAACATTAAGAAAATTAGGCAAGTTCTCTTTTGAAAAATTGAAACTAAGGTGAGATCATCCAAGTTTTCAAGAGACTGACTTTTTTGATGCAAGAAAATTGTTCAATATTAGAAGATTTCAACACCCAGGGATACAACTGAAAAATGAGTAAGACACTTTTTTTAAAAAAAAGAAACAAATAGTTAAAGCAAAACATACAAATGGGTACAAAAGGCAACTGAATGGAATTCTGGATAATGAAGGGATTGAGACAGGCAGCCGATGCTGAGAACTATTAAGAAATGGGCTTATAGGAACAAATAGCCTTTTCATATTTTTAGTTAAGTTTTTTGTAAAGCTTTTTGAGACATTCTCCCAATGTGAAAGGTGTTATATGAAAGTGTAAATCGTTGTTCGAAGATAAAAAGAACATTTATTAACCAACTGAAAAGGCCACTAATTAAATTTTACTATTTCCTAATTTTGCTTATCATATTTACTTGGTCATATTTCATAAACAGCGCTCCTTAATTGTAATAGCAAAGATTATTACAGTACTATAATGCACTACCCCCTCTACCCAATGAAGAAATAATAGAACAGAAAGCTCGGGTCATGCACTATAAAACAAAGTATGTCGAGCAGCAATTTAAATAAAGTTTTTTCCACTATCCTTGGCATTTTAAACAACTTGAATAGGATATCACTTATGTGCAGGTAACATTAAACAAACCTTAAGCACTTTTAGCTATGGAGAAACATTGCGGTTCATCTTAACATGCACATGCCTCAACCCAAGATAATCTATTTATGGACCAAATACTATAATACAGTTAACCTACTGAATACATCTTCCTACTGTAGAAACTTGTTTCACCTGAACAGTTTATTCAATCAATTTCCAATTATATTTATTGCAAAAATTGTTTTTGTCAAAACAATAATCACCAGTCTGGCACTGAAATAAGAGGCCAAAAGTATCAGTGGCTGACTACTTGGTTAATTTTCACATCTAGTTGAAAAATGTGAGTACGGTGTACGCCTAATTTCTGATAAATTCAGTCATATTGTAGAAACCCTTATTACTGGAATACTATCAGCACATAATAATTTGAGTCATGCATTTTCTCTTTCTCAAAGGTGGTGATCTTTCCAACCAACAGAATGAATGGCCTCCACATCCAATATAAATAATAATAATCCTTGCATTTACCATAGCGCCTTATCAAATGATAGATCAATGCTAAAAAATTCATACAAAGCAATATTAGATGTGTATATAATTGCTGAAAATGGGCAGAACTATTTAACCATTTAATTATTGCACCAGACAGCTCTGATTTCAAGTTATACATAGATTGTTATGTACAAATGAAGTACAACAACATCATGGCTCTCTTCCCACCCCCCCCCCCCTTTTAATTATAGTCAATTCACTTCCTTTCAAAGCATTATGAATAATTAGAACAGCCACTCCCATGTAATTTTTTTGATAACAATAAGGGAAAAATAGACAACCAAAGCTGAGATTGGTTAGATAACCCAGATGGTGGATGTTAATACATTATTTGAGCCTGATGATATGACTGTTAAAAAGATAAATAATAGATTTACCCATTCTTCTAGTTCAATACACTCTAATCTCTGTCTAGCTGTCACATCTTGAAAAAGGTGTGCCTTCAAAACAAGGCAAAGTGAAAGAGATGTTAAAATTTCATCACAAACAGCAGGATTCAGAAAAGAAAAAAAGCAATGGTGTCAGGTCAGTGATAGAATGTAGAAGATACAGAGATAAATTTTGCAAATACAAAGCTTTCTAGGTGTACACTATTGTTCTGACACCTAGGGAAAATATGGTTTGTGAACAGACTTTCAGTATGATCTACTTAACAAAATGAAAACAGTAATATACATCAGTTAACAATGTTGCATTGATTGGATAATAACTGGTTGAGATCACCCCAAATTCTGGAATTTTCCTTGCCTATAGCTATCTCCTTGCTGGGGAATGATTTTTTTTTAAACCAACTAAGGATGAGAGAAGAGAGGAAAAACTCAGGATCTAACCCTTATCATGATTTCTTTCAATAACAAAGGCACTATATTACCACAGGTGATTTTCTTCTACCCAGAGGCAGCATTGGTGAATGTTGATTTGAATTCTATTCCCTCAGACAGAGCTCATCATATTGTTTCAGTTTTTGTGACAAGGCTAGGCTCATACACTATGCATACAGGGCACAGCGTAAAATGTCTAAGGCTAGAAAATACCATTAAGCAACAATATTTTCTTTTTTCTACAAATGGGCGAATCCACAAACTGCACATTCAGGCATTGCAGCCATTTTGATCTGAAATGTCTCTTCAATACATTGCAATACAAAGATGATAAAATAATTTGTATTCATGTATTACCTCTGGTTAAACTCCTAGTTTCCAATAAAGTTGATGCCACCATTTTGTTTGTGACGCAAATTAGCTTGTGAGTCCCAAAATAAAGCAGCCTCCTCTCGCATGGCATATTTACACATCATCTCATTTGGAGCCTTAACTTTGTTTTGTTTTTTAACCCAGAGATGGCCAAAGGGCAACTCCAGAACTGCTGAAACTGATGAATAATAAATTGATGGGACTGCAAAGGGGCTTTGTATGTGAATGTTGAACTTCAGTTAAGATTGAGGAAGACCACACCTAAAAGATAGGTAATCTGGCATTCTTTCATCCTCTATCTTTTAAATAGGACCTATCCTTATAAACAAACCAAAGAACCTGGCATCCTGAACTGTTACAAAGCCAGGAAACATTTAGAAAATCATGCTCACCACTCCGATTGGCTGCCTTGAAGATGGCTTGGAGAGGAAACCTTCTGCACTGAAATTCCCTGAAAACCATGAGCTCAAACAACCTTAGTCAAGGGGAGGAAGTCCATCACCATCACTTGTAGTTCACAAACTGTTCATATTGAAATAAGTTAAAAACTACTTTGTTGTAAAATGATTGAAATTTATAGAAATTTACAGGTTAAAAATGTTGCGACACGATCTTGCCTACAACCAATGTGCACTCTTCAAACACTGCTCCACATGGAAATGCTGAAACCTCTTCATCTAAAAGCATCTGGATGTAGAGAAAGATATCTCACACCCCATTGCACTAAAGTGGCAATTAAGTCCAAAAATAAAACTGGATAATTTGGTGTTCAATAGCTTCACAGTGTAGGCTTTCCTGGAAACCAGAAGATTAAATCCCTGGGTGGTAGAATCCACAATCCTCTAAACAGGTCCGTTTACTTTCAGGAAAGGATTTATTGTATCCTTTCTAACCAACCATGGGTGCTCCAAGCAAGCGATTCTAATGGGACTGTCAATGCTGAGCATCTTGAGATCCACAGAAATTTATAACACAGAAGGCCATTCAGCTCATTATGCCTGTGGCTCTCAGTAAGCAGAAACCATTTAGGCCCATTCTTCTGCCTTTTCTCCAAAAGAATCACAATATAAGAATAAAGTCTTCCATGGGAAGAAAGGTAGTGGCCATCATTTCCTCTAAGGAATCATTTGAATAATCCATGACTGGATACTAGGAAAAGTACAAGAAAGAGTTTCATATAACTTGTTTCATGAGGAAATCAACTGAATACAGAAACTCACATTTAGAAACGGAGCCTGAAGAAATTGCTTCTAAACAAATGCTTTAAACGTTCTAATGTTATGTAAGCAATGTGAACGTGGGAGTGGAACAAGTAAGAAAAAATAGATTAAGTGCTGGTAGGATTGCAGCTGATAGAATGACAACTTGCATTTATATAGTGCTGAGAGATGCTATGCTGTGTAAAGATCTCTATATAAATGTAAGATTTGACATTGGGAAAAGCTCTGACTTGCAACTGTCATTTACGAAGAAAAGTTTCACATGAGTTCAGAGATAAAATGGTGATTTTTGAGGAAGTTTGAGAAAATGCTTTTGTTTTATCTGGAAGTTTTGAAGTAGAATTTTAAAAAAATGTCTTGCTCCTTCTCCATTTATCATGATCCTCTATCCTGTCGTTCTTCCCAAACATAAATTGTCACGAACTCAATTATCTTATTTACTGAAACAGCCTTCCCTGGTAATTTATTCTATTTGATCATTGCCTTTTGAGTTAAATTAGTCTATCTGAAATTCATATTCAATCATTTTTAAATTTGATCTTCCTAGTTTTCAATCACAAACAATTTGGCCAGATTATTATTGCTCTGATTCATTTGAATGTGGGAGTGGAACAAACAAAAAAAAGTAAATTAACTGCTGATAGGATTGTCTTCATTCATTGAATTATGGAATCCACAAAAAGGAAATGTTTTTGTTTAGGACAATTCTGGCTTCATGACACCATGAACCTTGAGTTTCCACCCTATGTGGCTCTAGTCTTTCATTCTGCATACAAGATAGCGTTCTCTAACTAATGTCCATTAATGGACATCATTCCAATCTTAATCTATGTACGGTCCTCAGACTTGTAGAAATTGTAGTGAGTTAATTCAGTAGTCAGAAAGATGTTCTGGACTCAAAACAATTAAAATGTTTTAACACAAAGACAATTTTCCTTCTTCACTAGCCTCCAACATCACAGAACATTGACCAAGTTAGGAAGAGAAGGCTGTCTTTGCTGGATAGCATAGTCTAGCTGGCAGGACTTGCCTGCCAACTGCTGCTCATCTACAGCAAAGTTTTAGTTATCAACGACAATTGTGGAGACAGTGTTGATAGCCAAACTCCCTTGAGAATATTGTTTTCTTTAGACCATCAATTCAGATCTAGGTTTAGAGGCCTAATCCAGCTGAACTTTGTACAAGAATCCACAGAAAAATTCAGCTGCACCAATCTCACACAGTGAGCCACACAATATGTTGCCAACATCAGGGCAAGAATGCAAAGGTATCAATTGTGCTTCGAGCAAAAATCTTCTATGCAGAGTAATACAACACTACTAGAGGATATCCTTCATTCAGATTGATGCCATTCTGCTGCTGGCAGACATCCTCTGCACAGAGTGACACTATTATTTGAAGAGTGTGGCAATACAGTCACAGATTTCCTTAAACAAAATGCCTCACAAATAATGTCCTGCCTTCTCACATGATACATGGAAAAAGAGCTATCAAAATAGACTGGAATTAATTCCATAAATGCTCTGAAAGTAGATTGAAAGATGGAAGCATGTACTCTGCATCGGTACCTGTGATTCCCAAGTTCAACTGAAGATACTTTCAATGACCAAGCCAAATGCCATAGTAGACACAGGTTAGGTTGATCGAGGCCAGACCTTCTCCTGGACATTTGGTTGAAATACACAATGGAATGAAGCAATTTATTACCATATTAAATTTGTCTGGTTGAGCAACTGGATGACAACCTCCAGAACCTTTTGATACCACTAAATACCATTAATAAAAATCATGCATTTTTATATAGAATCTCTTCAACTGCTGCAAGTCAACATGGATCTGAAGGGAAAGTGACCAAATTGGGAACCACAAAATTCGTCATTGGGTAAAGGACAGCGCACCTCAGAAACTCCTTATAAGTGAATGTTTTCTCTGGCGATTTACGAGTGTGTAATAAGACTTTGAATGATTTGCGATCAGCCTTTCACTTGGGACTTTAGTTGGGGATGGCGACAGGAGTGACTGCATGGTGGGTCAAAAGCTGACTGTGCTATCAACTGCCACCCTGTTCTCCTGGACGCATAAACTAGTATGGGACTCTTGTGAAAATACCAAAAAGAGATGCTACTGTCCATGGAGGCTTGTAGAAAGTCCAAGACTATTTATACTATATGTTTTTATCACTTTGCCCTTTATTCTGAAGGTTAAAGGCTTTTATAGATCTTGTAAGGTTAATGAGAAATCAGCAGGCTTTTCCAGTTAAAAAATATGCCTTTTTTCACAAAGCTGTTATCTCCACAGGTTCCTGAGGCTTCACACAGCATTTTTATTTGTTATCCTGCCACTGAGCTGCAGCTTTGATTCTGGCACTGTTGTCATACCTAGGAAAATGTCTTTAGAACATTCCGAAGCAATTGCAAAGAAGCATTAACAATCTGGAGCTCTCTCCCCCCAAAAGGCTGTGGATGCTGGATCCATTCAAATTTTCAAGACTGAGGTGGATAGATAGGTAAATGTATCAATATGGGGCAAAGGTGGGTAATTGGAGTTGAGGTACAGATCAGCCATGATCTAATCGAATAGCGGAACATTTGGATATCTTCATAACTGGTACTTTCAGTGCCTTGAATCACATGATGCTACGAAAAGAAAAGGTTGCCATACTAGATAATTTTCATCAAAAGATTATGGCGAGTAGAAGTGCACAGTAATCTTGAATTGAATCATTCCAAACAATTGCAGACAAACAGAAGCAAAAAGAACAATTAATTCCCTTGGGTACAAAGCTTCTGGCAAGACAATGACTACTATGTGGGGCAGCATTTCACAAGCATCGTATGCCATTTATTACTGTCCTGGTGAATTAAATGTATCTGACTTAAATCCAGAAGTACTAGCCTGTGTATACCCCAGTAATAAGCAGTAAGCATTTTGTTTGGAAAGGATGCTGAAATTCTCAAAAATCATAGTCCATTAGGAACAAAGAAATGTTATAATTAGAAACAGATTAAGTGATACAAACCAGACCTACCTGCATATCTAGTTCATGGCATCTTTGTGCTATCTCCTCTTTTGCAGCTAAAGCTTCATTTAGTTCTTCAGTGGTTTTCTTCAACTAGAAAGGAATACAAAATCGATAGGACTTGGTTTTGAAAAGTTGAGTCAAAAATTCACGAGGACAGATTTGATTCCTCTAAGATAATTTTTTAAATAGACTTCTTTGAATTATGCAGTATTTGTTCAGGTCTCTCTCCCTCGCTTGAGTTCTAACTCTGCCCCTGTGAAGCACTCAGACATTATCCTTAGTGAAGAGCACTATATAAATAAATATAATTACAATTTTCTTAAAATATAAGAACTAAGGTTTCAGAACTAAAGAATTAGATCTAAAGGTTGGACAACTGCTGGTTTGATCACATGAATACTGCTTTAACTTTTGAGTTTACTGAGGCAGTTCCAGCAGACCTAATCAAACTGATTTTTTAAAGATTCTGGCCTGTATAATCAGAAGTACATAGCCAAGACTTATAAATCATCATAGTACCACAAGCTGTGATTCATACCCAAGTCTAGAGAATCCACTGCAGTAGTGATTAAGTTCCAACCAATGGGAGAAATGAGGCTCCAAAGATGGTTGTGTTTCCAGAATGCATGATATGAATCACCCCAAAATTCATATTATACAGTAAGTCAAAGAATAAACAAGTCTATATCCTAAAATAAATCAATCTTCCCCAAAACAAACGAGAAATGGGGGCAGGGGGGGAATATCCCAAAAGAGAAAATGATTTTTTTAAAAAAACTTTCAGCAGACTTAAATCCGACAAGAAAGATTTTTTTTCCCCTTCTGCTCAGCTCGTAAACGTGTTTTGACTTTTCCCTTCTATTTTAATGCAGTTACACTGGCAAGCATCACTCTTCAGCACCTTGCCTAAATGGGTATTATCCACGAGTCAGCCTCAATACCAATGACTCATTAATAATAACCATATGGGCAAGGTACTGAAGGTTATTCCACAGCAGGGATGACCCAAACCTGCCCTGACATGCACACCTCCAGCAGTGGTTGCTGGAGATGAAAATCAGGAACCTTAGCTGATTTTCCCCTTTGTGAAAAAAATGGCTTGGAGGCCTTGTTGCCTCAGGTGAGATCATGCAGCTGTTCACTGGATAAAAATAAATTGGGGCATTGTTTCCAGCGTAGGATAATTATTATTGTCCATCAATAAAATCTTGAGGGAAAATCCGCTGCAGTTTAATCTACAGTTAATCTGCCTTTGTAAAGATGAATATATTAAAGTACTAGTTTTACCCAAGTCACAGAGAAATGCAGTTTATCCAAGGCAGGAGTGGGCTACTATAATAACAAAACATTTTATATAGTACCTTCACATCAGGTGAATGTCTCCAATCACTTTACAGGATGTAATGTAAAGTGTAGTGCCAGTATTTTGCAAACAAATTATAAAACTTAAATAGCTAATGTATGCAAGCCAAAGATGGTATTCTGAATAATTAATAAAACTTATAATATAGTCTTCACTTACACTTATTTTAGTCAGTGTATATTTGTGTCTTTATTTTAGTCAGTGCATACCTATGGTTTAGCTTTTTTCACAAAAGCTTCTGGTTTAATTACCTGCCGCTCAAGGTCCAGATAAGCATCATTTCCAAGGGCTGCTGGCGTTTCTTTGCTCATGAGCTGCAAACAGGAAGTATGAATTAGTCACAGTAAAAAAAACATTGATATGCCCAACACTCTATTTGTATTAAAATTAATCAGGTTCTCAAACAAATGAATCTCCCAACCTGTTTTGAATTGAAGCTTTGTTTTTTCAAAGAATTATTTCCATTATATTCAACTTGAGTTATAAGTAACTATTCATGAAGCAAAAATCAAAGCATTTCATCTCATTTATTTACAATTTGGTTTAATTGAATAATGGAACAAACCTTAGCTTGGATGAGAAACTTAATGGCAATAGCCAATCCACCTAATAGTTTACCTGAAAGCGATTTACAAAGTACCACACACACAAAAATAATTCTGATTATTTTTCTGAACTTAAAAAAAGTAGTACATGGAAATGCAAAATAAATGGATTGAAAAATAGGAAACCTAAAGTACTTATAAGAGAAGTATAGTCAGATTTGGAGGGGGCAGGGTTTATTATCCATATAAAATGGATGCTGACACTAGAAACTGCTCAAATCCAGTAACACAAAATTAAGGGGAGTAAGAGAGAGGAAACAGCAAAACATTTCCAAAGGAATTAGAACAGTTATAAAATCAAGCAGACAAGCAGCAAATGAAATGGAACACCAATTCAAGTAAACTGCTACACATAGGTAGAAAAACGTCAGAGCAAAAATATTCATTCAGAATGGAACCGAGTGAAAATAGAATGAATACTGAAATGGAGTGACTATGTTTTTCGTGGCCAATCGCAGCAGCCAACTTGAACACAGTATTGTTCCACAAACAAACAAAAGGTGAATGACCAATTTTATTTGAGGGATTGTTGGCCAACACACTGGCCTGGAAAGAGAAATTGGTGCCATGGGACCTTTAACATCTACCTAAACTGGCAGACAGATCCTTGATTTAAAATTTAATATTATGGCAACTCCAACATTGCAGCAGCGCCAAGCACAGCATTGGAGTGTTATCTTAGACATATGAGTTCCAAGTCCCAACATGGGGCTTGAATCCACACCTTCTGACTCACTTGAACCAGGTTGAAACACAAATTCTGAGAAGAACAGAAAAACATCTTTAAAAATTACAGGTGTATTTAAGAATCTCTGAAAGAAGGTAAACCAGTCCAGGTGGAACTTATGCACATAAATGTCCAATTTCAAAATGCTAAAAGTTAACAGTATTAGAGAAACAAGCAACAAATTGAGGAACACAACATTCCCCATGGACTAGGTTCAAAGGGAAAAATTTATGATCTGAATACAGTAACTGCCTCTTTGCATAAACTGCCTTGTCCATCATGGTTAATAACATTTATTTCCGTCTCCACTTGTACAAAAAGAACTCAGATTAACTTTGATTTGGCAATAAAAAATTCCCGTTGTATATGCTGCAGAAGCATAGGATTAAATAACAGACAGATAGCAGATGCAGTAATTAGACATATGGATTACATGCAGCAGCGGGGATAATATAAAAAGGCAAAAAACACTCGTAGTGAGAGGAAAAGATTCATATACAACCTACCTCCTGAATGGCTGCCATAACAACATGCTGAACAGACTCTTCCATCATCATGATAGTTTGTATGTGCTCTGAAACACAATCAAAAGTTTGTTTGCCATAAACATAGATGACTGAAAATTATTTAACAGTGCAATCGGATTATGACATAGATCAAGCCATTTAACTGGTTGCTTTTTGACAATATAGTGGAGCTCAGCAACTGTATCAAGCTTTATGAATGCACAAGGATATGGAGCAAAAAAATACATCACTGCACAAAATTCTGGATTTTGGCTAGGCATCAATGATTGCTGAAGAAACAGGCAAAGGTTTAGAGAGAAGGAACTCTCCAAAAATCATCTCACTTCATTGAAGACTAACATTCTTGGATTAGTTTTCAATATAGTGACTAGTCAATTTGAACATCTTTGACCATAAATTGTCTAAATGACATAATTAAAATAAATGCATTTAAAAGTATTTGCCTACAGAATAGTCTCAACACTATATATTAAAAAATATACAATATATAACATGAGTTCTGGGTAATGGAAGAACCCAAACCATTGAAAAGCTTTTCTTTGATTCCATTCCAATGGGAATTTTTTTGACCTCAGAAAAACGATAGCCATGTGAGGATCATTCGGGGGATACTTCCTTAACTCAATCTGACACTATCCTAATAATCCTAAAGTTTTTTTTATATATTATATAATAAATATAATAAAAGTCTGTGACAGAAACATCAAAGATGTGTTCAGATAAAGAAAGCCCTTTGGGCCATTTGATCTCATCCTTCTAGAATATCCAGCCTACTGTCCTCCCATCAGAGCATCAATCTGTTTTTAAATAATGACCCTCAGAACTGCAATGCTGACTTTGTGATCACTCACTGGCAATCCTTAACTCTCATGGATCAAGGGTCCAGAAAGCAAGGGAGGAAAAATAAAACTGATCAATAAAAATTAAAATTGAGTGAACAACAAGGTGATAAAAAAATCTTTACTAGTTATAAATAAGGCCGTTTTTTAAATCTCGACAATGGTGGAGGAAAATGACAATTTAATTTAAGATCTTGGCTTGCTTCTAACTCCGGCATCCAAACATCTTTATCTTCTATTTTAAATCCCCAATATTACTGGTGAGTGGAAGATTTTGGGGGTAGCATTTTGATCATGTGTTCATTGTGAACCCCTCAGAGCTTCCACCAGAATGAGTACAACAACTTTGTTTTAGAAATACTTCATGAAGCACCGGATCATCTAGTAACCTGTGTGTACCCCTGAGATTTATGGAGAATGCTGCAAAGAATTTTAAAAATTCTGCTAGGCAACACTGAATGTCACTAAGAAGAACAAAGAGTTTACAATGGGTTTGACTATCCAACAAAGGTGGGTAGCTGAGTGGAGGCCAGTCACTTCACTGCAGGAAAACACAGAAACTGAAACATCTGGGCTGCTTACTCACATCTCCTAGTGGCAGTTATAAAACAACAGAAGAGGAGGTCTGATAACAGATCTCTGGACCGTCTTCTTGATGGGTTATGCACATAGCAAAGGAATACTTTGGGACGCATGGAGAAGGAGAAGCGGAGAGCACACATGCAAACAACATAGAATATATGAGCAACGCAGCATTACTCCTACAATCAGACTCTTGTTTCAAGTATAGCTTTTTATTAGATAAATAAAAACTGAATGCTGGAAGTTCATAGCAGGTTGAACAACATCTGAACGGATTAACAATTCATCAGATATTATTGCATGTCACAAACTTTATACCCACTGTCTCCATTAACCATTGTTTCCACGGAAATTACTTTCCTTGCCACTTTCCTACATTTTAACATTAAGTATTTTGTTCAAAATAGCAATCGGATAAACAAGGTGGTTGCTTCAGTGATACAAATTTTGAGGTATTTACCTTGTTTCTGCTCACAGTTGACAGCACAACCAAGAATTAGCTGCAGCATTCGCCCGAGTTCTGCGGCATCAGAATGTTCTCCTATCAAGTTAACGTCTGGCAGAGGAAAGTCAGCAATCTGCTGTCCCAAGACCTGTAATTGCAGATTATAGTATAAAGTGGTAATACCATACGACACAGATTGGAACATCAGCACATTTACTGTTGTATAATAGCTGCTAGTCATAGACACAGATGGTTATCTTTGATTAATAGTAACACAAAGCAATACTATTGAAGTGGTAAGGATCCTACAGTGATTGTATTCAAATCAATTGTTGGGTCAATTAGCATAGACGTTCGTCATCATTTTGTTACAGCATGGATTAAAATAGTATTATGAACAAAATATTAAAACCAAGAGCTAGCGTTCCACATTTCCAGTGATTATTTCACTCCCTTTTGTATTATTTCCTGTGGCTATTACAAATCTCTAGCTTTCAAAATAATAGGTTCCCATTTCTGCACTTGTACACACACAGGATTGTGTCTATCAAGTTGTCTTGCGTCCACTGGGCTTCACATACCATAAGCGAAATCCTGAGTTTGCACGAATCTTGAGTATAGGGTCTGTGGGGGTGGTGGAGGGAGAAAAATAAAGAAGCAAGATGTTTCCCTACAAATTATCGTTTTAGACAAATCTCGGATCCTACAAAACATTTTTAAGGAAAACAAAATACACTTAAACCCTGACTAGCCGTACTAATATGGAGGAGATTTGGTCTGCCGAGCTGGATTTTCCAGGTAAGTGTAATTACATTGCCGGTATCGGAATTGTAATTGTTTGAATCCTGTGAGAAGAAGAAAACGGATAAGCCATCTTTGGTGAGGCTGCTCACTGCCAACTCTCCTAGCATGCAGCATTGGCAGCATTCATGTAGGTTAACATATGAAAGCACTTCAGAGAGACAATGCCAAATAATGAGCTTGCAGGTGGGGAGAAAAAAGAAGTTTACTAAAGACAGATGACCATTTTCCCTACTTAAAGATGGCAACAGAGTGGGGGCAAGGTGTAGATTTTTGGTGGAGGAAGTTCCAGAGGGTAGGGGAATTGTGGCGGTAACCTTGCGATGCGAAGCAGAGAGAGTTTGGGATGTGCAGCAGGTCCGAGTTAGCCAAGTGGAGGGGGTGGACAGGAGAAGATCACTGAGGTAGGGAGTGACAAGATTATGTAGGGATTTGTAGACGAGAGTGAGCATCTTGACAATCAATTCAGTTGAAGACCGGGAGTTACTGCAGTCAGGAGGAGGATGGAGTGATATGCAAAGTTTAGTGCGGTAATTGAGGCTAGGACACTGGATTAATTTAAAAAGCAGTTTTATTCTATGATGGTGGTGGGTAGTATGGAAGGGTAGGGGGTAGGCTTCAGATGTAGGGAAGGTAAAATGAGGTGGAAACTTCCAGCAAGGAAAGATGAGGTGATCAGTGCCAAAGGTGAGGAGGCTGAGTCAGATGGCTTCCATTTTGCCCAGATTGAGCAGAAGCCATTTAAGGCTCATTCAGAACTTCAATATAAATTTACATTGCACATTTCAGTGGGAGCACTTCCCGAGGCACTAGATAGTTTGGTGAAGTTTGTACTCATACTGGGGAGGGGGGGGGGTAAGATGGCCAAAATACACAGTATTGTAAATAAAGAGGACTTTCAAACACATTATCTCGGATCTAGGACAGAACACTGAAGCATGCCACGGAAGTAATAGTTGGAAGAAAATCTTACCTCATGATAGTAATCCAGAATTCCTTTTAAAATTTTCTTTAAATTGCTAACCTAAACACAGAAGACAGTTTTAAAATTAACAAGTACAATGAAATAGAATAGCATTCAAACCACATACAAATCGGTCGGCAGTGGGTGGCGATCATCACTTTTGTTCAAATTAAATTTTTAAGTCCCAAGAAAACCCAGAACAGTCTCATCACATACAGGCAGCGTATAAAGAGCAGTAAGGCATACTTGGTATCCACAGGCAATTACTGTCATGTACAATGACAACATATTTGTAGGATAACACAGCTGCCAATTCGTGAACAGCAAGATCCCACAAACAACCCTGAGGTGAATGACACACTAATCTGAAAGGTTGTTGGACTGGCAGTTGCACCAAGCAGTTAAATATGCATTCATGAACCAAAAGTCAATACCCTTGTCACAAAAACATGTTGCACCTTGCTTTATAAGGTTACATTTTATCCGAAACTGAAAATGACACAAGAAATTCAAGAGAACAAATTAAGTTAGTTTGCAGCGTGTAGAACCCATTTCCTCAGTGTGTTCGATACCCACCAGCTTCCTCAGATTGTACTAGAGAAACCAAGAACAAATGCTTCCTTCTACTGGTTTATGTTCATACGGGAATTTAGAACTTAAAACAAATAAGCTCAGGTTCCAGGCTATGCATCCACCCCTCAGTGCCTTTCAAATAATAATAATAATAATCCTTGCATTTGATATAGTGTTGTTCACGTCGGGAGGACGTCCCAAAGCGCTTCACAGAACACACTGTAAAGTGAATTGACTGTATATTTGTGGGCGAACGCGGCAGCCAATTGCGCACAGCAATGTCCCACAAACAGTCGTAGATTGAAAATGACCAATTTAATTATTGTTTTTGGTTTTGGAGGGATTATGATTAGGCTCTGTGTGGAGTAAGGAAACTTGCCCAAGGTTTCGCCCTCTGCCTGGAATTGAACTCAGGTCTCTCACTTGCAAAGTGAGTGCTCTAACCACTGAGCTACAGGACTCCACAAATACAATGATGATGATGGGAGGAATATCTGTTTCTTCTATTAACTGACACAAATGCATATTGACCACAAATGAATAAATAAACCACATGCTGTGGAATATAACAATGGTTATCAAATGATAGATTGTAAAATACAGTTGATGGGTCAACTTTCTGGAATTTGCTTTCAAATCACATAAATTATGACATATTAACATAATATGGAAGTAAAGATGTCCACATACTTAGTGAATCACTCAAAAAATAATTCAGGTAGTTAGGCAATCCATTGAGGGATACTTATGGAAGGAACAGCTGCAGTAGATATCTCTGGAGGGAACTGCTACTGCTTGTGTAACTTAATCTTCTGCCTCTAATACTTTCACATTTTAACTCAGAGGATACATGGCCAGCAAAAATAGCTTTGAGAGTGTCAAAGGTTACCAAAGAGCATGGCATGGGGGAGATGATAATAATCCTTGCAATAGATATAGAGCCTTATCACATCTTCGAGACGTCTTAAAGTGCTTCACAGAATATACTGTAAAGTAAATTGACTGTATTTTGTGGGCGAAACTCGGCAGCCAATTGCACACAGAAGTGTCCCATAAACAATCGTGGATTGAGTGATCAGATTATTATTCCATGTTTATTTAATTTTTAGAAGGGATTATCACCCCCGGAAAAGTGATCCACCAATCGATTAACAACCGCGATCCTACTTATTGCTAAGTAAACAGAGGCGTGTGGAGTAAGGAAACTTGCTCAATGCTTCGCCCTGAGATAGACTGTAGTGATACAATGATCAGGATGCACATAGTTGTAAGCAACAATAAAAAAAAATTATCTTAAGAAAGTACCTTGGTAAATGAAAATGTTTTAATCTATTGCATGGGGCTTTAAATTACGTTGAGAAGAAGTCTGACTCCTTCATTGATATGGCAGATAGGATTTGGAAATTGCCGTTTGGAAATCCCTGATATTGATTGATATTTTGTTCAAAACCATAGTTGAGTTCTTTGTTTTAGCTAATCACTTAAATGGGAGTTACAAGAGATTAATTTATCAGCTATTTCATAAAAATAGTGCATTACTTTCCATTCATGAAAGTACTTGAACATGGTATGTAATGTTGGTGGTATGTACATTAAAATGCTTGATATTTCTCTGAATCTAAATCTATTCTGTTCACTAGAAATGCTCAGAAAAATAATTTTACCCACCTGATCTGAATTTTCCCAATGAGTTGCATACATGTCTAACTCACACATATGGCTTGTTGCTTTTACAGAGTCTGAAATTTGGAATGAGGAAATGTAACTGAACCTATATCGATATCCTGACACATGTACAAAGTTGGGATTTACTGAATAATTGAGAAAAATAACTTATGTAGAGGCAACCTAAAGATGCTTACCTGTATAAGGTTAAGACTGAAGTTTGGGACAACCATATGCAGTTGATGGAAAATCCCTTTGTAAGCACACCCCACAATATAGAAATTGTTCATCATATTTTCAACTAAGAACTCACAAAATACATTAAATATAAACCGAGTACCTTCAGACGCCAGTTATCCCCCACTTCAGTTTTGACACGATTTATCCAGGTGTCATCAAACCATGATTGGTCGCTGTAAAATCAAAATCAAACTCATGAGCCCAGTTCATCTATTTACATGCATCATTTAGAGCAGAAGATTTAATCATCTGAAGATTTGATTATCTGAAGATTAGTAAACCACTAGCAATTAGGCATTTCAAGAGATTGAGCATCATTATCTATTCAATTTTCCAAATTAAAACAGGATACAATTAAGATACTGTCAGAGCCCATTCAACCTCAGAGTGAGAAAACTTCTGTACATGGTTGTTGTTGTTGTATTGGTTCAGAATGTGATAATTCAAACCCCTCATGTATACAAAGTTGGAATTTATTAAATAAATGAAAAAGTAATTAACATCTAGAGGCAACTTGAAGATGCCATCTGACTAATAATATCTAAGCAATGTTTTATGACAGCTCTAAAATCCAGCTTGAGTGTAATTTTCCTCCTGCTCCCCCCCACCAAAAAAATTATTTGATTGCACTATTCTTTCAAAATGTGCTTCTGAAGCACAGTGACAATAATGCACTATTATCCATTAAAGTCATAGGATGTCAATATAGGTTGGCAGTCCTTCATATTTTTAGATTATTATTTCTCATGGTGTGGTGACTCCCATTGGAAACTTAGTTTCCCCTCTCCACCCCTCTCTCCTCGCCGGCCTTCCCGGCACCTCCCTCCACAAGCTGCAGGTCATTCAGAACTCTGCAGCTCGTGTACTGTCCCGCACCAGACTTCGGGACCACATCACACCCACCCTCGCTCGCCTCCACTGGCTCCCCATCCCCCAGAGGATTGATTTCAAGATCCTCATCCTCACCTACAAGGCCATTCACGGCCTTGCTCCCTCCTACCTCTCCGACCTACTATCCCCCTACCTACCTGCCCGTACCCTCCGTTCCTCTGGCTCCGGTCTGCTCCACGTCCCCCGCCCCAACCGCCCTACCATCGGTGGTCGGGCCTTCAGCCTCTCAGCCCCGAGGCTCTGGAACTCTATCCCCCAGTGCCTTCGCCGCCTCCTCCCTTTCCTCCTTCAAGGCTGGTCTCAAGACCTTTCTCTTTGACCGAGCCTTCAGCTCCCCTCTCGACTCTCTTCCCCCTCCTCGCTCCCTCCCTTCCCTCCCCTCACCCTGACCATTTCCCCCCTCCTTGGGTCCTGACCCAACTGTACAGCGCCTTGGGACGTCCTCCCGACGTGAAAGGCGCTCTATAAATGGAATCTTGTTGTTGTTAGTGATTTCCGAGAGAGATACTATTAACATTGTGTATCTCCCAGGAACACGTTTCAGAACAACATTTGTGAAGGTCCAGAAACTGGTTGAAAGCAGGGTGTTATAGAAGCAAACCCGCATAGGTTACTTTTCTTTAGGAACCAAATAATGCAATTCCTAGTTCGAGGAAAAAGAGAAGAGAAAAAAAGCTATGCTGTGTTTTGCTTGGATAAATTGGGATTTTTTGTGTGATTTTGGGGTAAGGAGGTTTGTGCTACTGCATCCATTGGAAGTTTGAGTTGACAAAATACAATAATGACAGCATGTCTGTCAATTAATCCAACTAACACAAAGCTGATCTATAGATGTCCAAAAGTACATCTTGAATTGAGCCTACAAAGCAGTCTCTTAGAATCATGCAGTTACCCTATGGCAGCCATAAATGAACATAGCATGCTTAGCAGTACTTATTAATGTCTAAGAGTTGTTGTGTGGAAGGTATACCAGCAAGTACCATTAAGTTTTGATTAATTATTGCATGAATTTCTCAAGTTACATAGTCAACTGATAGAATCTTGAGAATGGAAATCAACGGAACATCGTCAGCTCATGTCTCATTGAAGCAATATGATGGGATCCATACCAACACTGACTCCAGCTGAGCCAGCCTGACATCTCAGCACAGGATGCTGACTGACGAACAGGGTTGGTTGCATGGTTTAAGACTGACAACCAGGCTGGGACAATTCAAGGCCAATGAAGCACATTCTTATTAAAACAGCCCCAGAATACGCAACACCATGACTACCCAAATGTTAAAGCGACTTTAAAAAAAAGGCCAAATCTGTGAGAATTACACAGACTTGGCAACCCTGCGCGGGGATGCAATCCACAACCTTCTAATTCATACGCAAGAGTGCTACAAACTGAGTTAGGCTGTCGCCTAATAGAACAATATTTCGAAGGATAAGAAGTAAATACCTGAACTACTGGGAGATATAATAGTAACACAGGAACAAAAGTAGGCAATTTTGCCTGTTGAGCTTGTCTGTTATTATCTTAAATAATGGACAATCTGTAACTGAGTGCCATTTACCTGCCTTTTCTGCATATCCCCAAATTTCCTTTCTGATCAAGGTGTTACATCACAAATAATAATCCTTGCATTTGATATAGCGCCTTATCAGGTCTTCTAGATGTCTCAAAGCGCTTCGCAGAATATACTGTAATGTGAATTGACTATATATTTTGAGGCCGAAACACAGCAGCCAATTGCGCACAGCAATTACAGTCCAGTGAAAGTACAGTGAAAGCCTGTTAAGATGGACACATTGGGGCAGACGTTTTGCTTGCCTTAAGAAGCGCCCGAGGTCAGCCGAAGTTCTCGTACCTCTTCCAGCCCAGCAGAGCAGTGGTGCTTCCTCCTTCCGATTGCCATTCCCATCGGACGGGAAGGACACCAATGAGCGGCGGCACTGAGATGACTGACAGTCTTGGACGCCGCTTGTAAATGTTTGTGCTCCAGCCATTCACAAGCAGCTCCAGCTGTCAATCAATCACAATAATCCCTCCAAAACCAAAAACAATAATAAATTGGTCATTTTCAATCTACGACTGTTTGTGGGACATTGCTGTGCGCAATTGGCTGCCGCGTTCGCCCACAAATATACAGTCAATTCACTTTACAGTGTGTTCTGTGAAGCGCTTTGGGACGTCCTTCCGATGTGAAAAGCGCTATATCAAATGCAAGGATTATTATTATTAATTTGACTCTTCCCATTCCCATCGTTGTTCTTCCCCATTCCTCACTGATTGACAGCCCAACTCTAGCCACTTGTGAATGATTGGAGCCCGCTGTCAATCAATCTTAGATTCCTATCTCCATCCTGGAGCCGCTTGCCACACAGAAGGCCGAGTAAGTACATTCAGCATCAACCAGCACAACATTTTGCACAGATTAACAAGATTTTGTCCGAATCAACCGGCATATTTAAAATGGATAAAACAAATGAATTGGACCGGGGGTTTTGTTTGAATGATGTTGTCCGGGGTTAACTGGCATCTGCTTAAAGCGGATTTCCCTGTATTATTATATTCTACAACCATAGGAAAGAGTCTGTCTTCATCTACTTGGCCAATTCCCTTCACTTCAACACCCTGAGCAGATCTCCCCTCAACTTCCTTTGTTTAAGAGGGTACAGCTCCAGTTTTCCAATTCTGTCTTTGTAACTAAAGATTTTTCAATTCACGCTGCACAGCCTCCAACAGGTAATCCATCTTTTCAAATAATGTTTGAAGTAGTTAATTTCCATAAGCATGCTGAAAAGCCTTAGCGATGTACAAGCCATCATCCTGCATATAGTTGAATAACCTTTTTCCATTCAAATGAACAGGTTTGACTATGATCACTTAAAACAAAATCCAACAATCAGTTAGGAGCATTAGTTTTAAAAATCATTTCCAAATGATTAACATCAAGTGGTCCGAGACCTATCCAGTATGAAGGGCATCATATAAAAAATAAAATAAACAACACACTGTTGTTGCAGCACTATTAATGGACACTGGTGAAGCCTGCGCACATAGGGAGCATAGCAACAGGAAACATTTCAACTCTGTAACTGAAAAGGATAACTTCGTAGCAGTAGGAGCTGTATTAGGCACACCACTACTAACTTCAGATAAAAGAAAATACACCTGCTGTACATTCTGAAAATCTTAAAGAACATTAAATATTAGCTAAACTAGTAACCATAAAAATGACAGACGGAATGGGAGAAAATATAAGAAGAGATTTAAAGTTTTTTTTAATTACAGTACTTAGCAGTACAACAAGTAAATGAACTGATATCAGAGTGGCGTTATTTGCTGCAGAACAAGGTGAGCCCACATGCAGGCACAGTTTTGTTCTTTCCAGATAGTGAGGGGAAGGAAAACAGAACATCAGTTTTCCAGCTGCAGCTCTGCACAGCATGCAACAAAAACAACTTCCTTTAAAGGCAATAGCTCTAATGAAAAACAGCTCTCTAAATTTAAAGGAGCTACTGCCTTTCTTCAATCTGAACAATTCTGGTACAAATTGGAAATTTTTAAAAAATATTCTTTTATACTTTTTTTGCATTGCAACTGCACCTGAAGTAATCCTTGGCAAGATTGTACAGGGCATTCTTAACCAATGACTATCTCAAGACCAGAATTTTGAAAGTGACATTTCAGAACAAAAATAAATGTGTGGTAAAATGTTTTCTTTTTTTAAAATATGGTCATGACAATAGAAATGATTAGGAAAACTAACATAGCACAAATAGTTTTTAAGGTCACCAATTATTTGGGTAATTCTGAGGCAGTGTTGATGTCACCTTAGTTTCTAATTTAGTTGTGGCTCTATAATACAGTTAAATGATAAAAAGGTAACTATTCGTAAGAAGGTCAGACTGTAAACCAGTACTGCCTAACCCATCATATAATAATTATCGCAATAAGTAAGACAAATCAGTTAACAGTCATATCGTAATCAACAGGTTTTCACATCCAACATGAAATTCCATTCATCACTTAAAAGCTTTCAACTGAGCAAAAACTTAATAGGCTGAAATTTATTTTTTGATGCCATAATGTGTAAATATTACTATTCTCAACTGTATGTATAACACTCATGTGGGGAGTGAATTGCATAGTATTCTTTGTAAAAAGTAGGCCATCAATCATAACTTAAAAAATAAAAGATTTCTTCCAATGATTGAAATGAGAATAAAAACATTTTCAAACCTACATCTTCTGCAAGACCTGGGCCATCGCAACTCCACTTGTTAAATCATCTATTTTTGTGCATGGTGCCTGGATACCAAATGTTTGGACCTAAAAAGGAAAATTCAAAAAAGTATTTTAGTATAAAATATATCTACAGTTATACTATTTTGAGTCTTTTTTGAGAACAAAAATAATTGCAAAATACATTACAAGGGAACAATCAGAACTCAAAAGAAACACTGATCTGTTAAATGGGGACAGTATATTTAACATAGCATTTACCATGGGAGTATAATTGAACCTGGACACATTTCAAAGGACAATACTTACTCCCTCACAAGCAAGCACATTTTCTCTCAGAAACATTAAAACTGACCCAAATAAACATTTGAATTCATGACAACCAGCAGTTTTCATCAGCTGTTTAGTCCTGCTGTTTGCATGGTTTGCCATGTTTACATCATAGATCGATCAAAAATGGGGAAGATGGAGGAGATTCGTGAGCCATTTATAGAGGAGTGCTGTATAGTTATAACAATGGGAGATTAATTACCAGATGATGAACTTGGATAATGAAAATGTTAAGACAAAATAGGAAGGAGATATTAATAATGTATTCAGCACTGTTTTCTTATATTATTCCACCAGCGGCTAAATCAAATGTCAGTCTGGTTCAGTTGGTAGCATTCTTGCCTCTGGGTCAGAAGATTGTGGGTTTAAGCCGCATGTCAGGACTTTGAACTCATATACTCTAGGCAAACGCTCAAATGCAGTGGTGCCATCCTTCAGATGAAATATTAAATTAATTTATAGTTCTGCAGCCTGAAAACCGAGAGGTAAAACTATTCTCTGGAAGTTTGTGGGATGTTCTGCCCCCTAGGGGTTGTTCAGTGTTAAACAATGTCAGTTTTGTGTCAATAATAATGTTATTGTAATATTACAGTAGGAAGGTAAACAGTGTGTCAGCCACTGGTACCACTCTCGCCTGAGTCAGAAGGTTGTGGGTTCAAGCCCCTGAATTCTTATGTTTTTATATTGGAGTACCCAATCAGGTCTGTGCATCTCCACTAACACCATACAGACACCAAGGGAGTCTTCCTCCCCAATACCCCTTGGCTCTCTGTAAAGTGGGGTGAAATATCCTCACTGAAGCAAAGGTGCTTTGTAAATGCAGGTTGTGGTGTGGGATTACATTCCCCTACTAGGATTCTATCTTCTTCTGCCAGTCGCCACTGGGGGTAAAAATCAATATTTCCCCTGTCAATGTTTGAGCAGTTTGGAGGATGGGAAAGATGTGAAATTAATGTGCCAGCACCTTCAATGTCCTCTTGACATGAAAGGCGCTTTACTAATGTAATTTTGTTTGTTTCACTCACTGGCTGGTACCAGAGTTTAACGTGAATGAATAACTGCTGTTTGGTGACACTCCAGTTGAATGTCAACAAGACTGAGGCCCTCCTGCTTGGCTCCTGTTAGCGCCTCCATACCTCGGGCGCTGACAACATCACCCTCCATGGATGCACTCAACACCTCACGGAGCCAATCCGGAACCTGTTCGACCCTCAACTGTCCTTCACCCCCCACATCCGTGCCATGACCCACTCCACCTTTCCCTACCTCCACAATATTGCCAGGGTCCACCACGGTCTCTCACCCTAGGCTGCCAAGACCCTTATCCATGCATCCACCATATCCAGGCTCAACTACGCCAACTCCCTGCTTGTCACCCTCCGCAACTCCTCCCATCACATGCCTGCAGATCATCCAGAACGCTGCAGCCCATGTCCTCTCCTTCACCAGGCTCCGCGACCATATCACCCCCATCGTCACCCAGCTCCACTGGCTCCCCAACACAGAGGTTACAGTTCAAGATCCTGGTCCTCACCTTCCAAGACCCCACGGCCTTGCTCCTCCCCACCTCTGTGACCTTCTAACCCCTACCAACCTGTCTGTTCCCTCCACTCAGCGGCCTCCAGCCTGCTTCACATCCCCTGCCTTGCCCAATGCCCTAGTGGGGCAGGACTTCAGCCCCTCTGATCTCACCCTCTGGAACTCCATCCCACAGTCCCTACACCTCACCCCCTCCCTTGCCTCCTTCAAGACCTGTCTCAAGACCCTCCTCTTCGACTGTGCCTTCGGTCACCCTCCTAGCTCTATCCTCCCCACCATCCACCCTCCTGATCCCAACCACCAGCTCAGGTGCGGATCACTGATTGTCCAACGTCTTGGGACGTTCTCCTGACGTGAAAGGCGTTATACAAATGTAATTTGTTGTTGTTTTTGAATTCACATAGTCTAACCTGACACTCCAGGGTTGTGCGGGGGCAGGGGGAGGGGGTTATATTGTCAGAGGTGCTCTCCTGCAGAGAGATATTGAAACCAAGGCCCAATCTGCCCATTCAAGTGGACATTAAATATCCCATGGCATTATTCGAAAACAGAAGGGAGATTTTCCCAGTGTCCCAGCCAAAATCCCCCAAATGGCTCTTTGTGGGACATTGCTCTGCACAAATGGGCTGCTGTGTTCGCCTACAAATACACAGTCATGACACAGTAAATCATGTGAAGTGCTTCGAGACATTCTCCTGACATAAAAGGCACTATATCAAATGCAAGAATTCTTAGGATTATTATAAAGAGGGAGACCTGACTTCACGCCAGGTAATGCATCAGGGCAAACAGGTGATGTAAAGTTGGTAAACATTTGTGAAACAGCAGCTACAATTTAACAAAATGAGAGGTCATGGTTAACATAAATAAGAAGGTTAAGAATTTAAGTGGAAAATTACTTTGTTATAAAAGGGACTTAACCCAGATAAACAGAGCAGACAATACAGTTACCAGGGGTCACAGAAGCAAACTTGGCAATTTTTCACTTCTTCACAAAAGTGGGACGAGTCCCATAAACAACTGGAATCCTGCAAAAGACTTTAATAATGCTGAAACTGGATTGGAGAAAAAATTGGGTTTTGCTCTATTAGGCAGCATCTGTCTTCTCATCTGGAAAGTGTGGTATTTCCCATTTTCCACTGCATTTTTCACTGCATGAGTGGTTCAATGACTTCATATAATTCATACAGAGAACTTTAGAATTCCCCCTCTTTCTCCTACGCAAAGTAAACGTAGTGGCCATTGTACGCAAATGCAATAGTTTCTGATTCTTAAAGTATGTGCACTAGAACTAGCTGCCCCCAGCCAAACAGTCCCAGTACAACACGAATATCAAGCTGAAGATGTGGAAAATTGCCATATTCACAAAAAAAGTAAATGTGACCCAGCCAATTACCACTCTGTAATCCTCCACCTCCTCAACAAAGTGATGGAAGGAATCATCAATAGTGCCATCAACAAGAATAGCAGGATCATGGGAACATCACCACCTCAAAGTCATACACCATCCTGCATTGGACACCGATTGAGGGAAAAGCATCGGAGCAATGCCACCTTTCCGCAAGCAATGCCACATGCCAAAATCCCTTTTTCAATGGGTCCTCTTTAACAGCCCAAATTAGGTCTAAAATTCAGTACTGAATAAAGGTAAGATATTGGATAATTGCTGGAAAAATTATAGGTAGTTTTTGCATCTGAAATGGAATGTGGATTCTCTCCCTGGCACCCACCATACATACCTAAGTTCAAGAGCCAAGACTTGGAGACCCCAGAATATACACTGGAGTTGTGCTGGAGTTTAACCAGCTAAAAACACATAGCTTGCTATTGTCTGGCACGTTTCCCCCTGCTTGTCCAGCTTGGGCCACCCTACCTGTGAGGGTTTGTAGGGTTAGCAGGAGCTGAGTAGAAAGAATCACTGTTCCCAGTAACTTGTTCAGTCTTTCCAAGTCCTGCTGATGAGCCAGCCTGGCTGGTCTGTCATCAGCACTGCTTTGAGTACTGTGGACTCGCTTGGCTCAGGAAGTGGAAATACCAAGTCTACCACAATGTTCAGTTACTACACATATCACCTTGGTGCCAGCTCAATTCCAAGGAATCCCTATTTGCCCCCTCCCCCCAGGAGGATAGCTTCTTGTGGACACTTAACATAATTGCAGTCTGGAATACTGACAGTGTCTGTGACTCAGAGAGAACCTTATTGGCCAACCTTAGAAGGGCAGTGCCAAGGTAAGCTTACAGTTCTTGGTTTGATTTGTAAGGCCCTCGCCTTTCTCTACTCCCTCCCTCACACAGAGCCACTTTTAGGAACTGGACATTAAAATTGTTTGTATCTGCTGCTTTACCATTTGCAAAGTGATGCCGTACAGTCTACCCTACCAGGTAGAATGGATCATTTAGGCCTTCGATCTACTCCAACATTTCTGCCAGTTCTTCCACTCTCCACGCAGATGCATTTTCTCTGTGGCTCTTTAGGGCAGTTGCCAACTCCGCATAATGCTCCCTCTAGACCTCAAGGATGTCCTCATGGGTCTGCTGTAGAGGACTGGACTCGTCAAACACCAACACCAGCCCAGAGAGACAATTCCAGCTATGAGTGACAACAGACTTCAGGAGAAGATTTAGGATCTTTCTTGTGTAATTATGACCCCTTCTGGAGCAATTCAAACCACTGATCTCACTTATTTTCCCTAATAACTTTCCTAACCACACATACTGTTTGTGTAAACTACATTTGCAGCAATCCTAGCTTGCTCCAAGGAGGTTTCCAGTACCGCTTCAAAGGCCCACTTTCACCCAAATAGTTCTCCTTCCCTTTGTAGTCATAATGAGACATTAATCCAAAGTCCTGTTTGCTTGTTCAGTTGGATGTTAAATAATAATCCTTGATAATAATAATAATAATCCTTGCATTTGATATAGCGCTTTTCACGTCGGGAGGACATTCCAAAGCGCTTCACGGAAAACACTGTAAAGTGAATTGACTGTATATTTGTGGGCGAACGCGGCAGCCAATTGCGCACAGCAATGCCCCACAAACAGTCGTAGATTGAAAGTGACCAATTTATTATTGTTTTGGGTTTTGGAGGGATTATTATTAGGCTCTGTGTGGAGTAAGGAAACTTGCCCAAGGTTTCGCACTGCCTGGAATTGAACTCAGGTCTCTCGCTTGCAAAGCGAGTGCTCTAACCACTGAGCTGCAGGACTCCACTTCTCAA